CCTGGAAGGGATGCCTGGGGTTGACTCTGCCCAGGTTCTGGAACACACTAGAGTGGGAGTTGGGAAGTGTTGGCAGGCACAGGGAGACAGGAAAGCCTCGTTGGAGGGGAGGGAGAGGCTGTAGCACCAGACTGAGGGCAGGCAGAATGCAGACCCCATCTTCCCAAGTCTCAGGAGTCCCCAGCACCCACTGGGAGTCCCCTAACTCAGCATGTGGAAGATCAAGGGGTGCAGATGAGAACAGACTTGCTCTCCTAGAGCTTTCATCCCAGTGGGGAGAGGGGGCAAGACAACACACACATACATACACATATGGTTACATCTATGGGCACAGACCATGAGGTCCTGGAGAGAGTACCCAGGTGAGAGCCTTTCTGCAGAGACACACCAAGGTGGCAGTAGTACAGAGGCCAGGGACCGTGTGCCTGATGCTCCGGCAAGGCTTGCCCTTAGTGCTGAGAAAGCGGGGGGCCTTGGGATTCTAGCTGAGGGAGCAGAAGGAGGCAGTAGGGACCATCAAGAGGAGCCAGCAAGGGTGGTGACAGTGGAGACCTGGGAAAGCGAGACCTGCCAGAGGGAGAAAAGGGAGATTATGAAGTGACTGGGGCCAGTTTCTGGAAGAGTGCCTGGGTGCATGGTGACCCCTCCCTGCAGTGAGGAGCCTTGAAGGAACTGGGGAAGGGCTCACTGGTGGGCTGGCACCAGGGTCAGAGTCAGAACTGGAGGCAGCAGAGGCCTCAGAGCCAGGGGAGAGGGTGCTGAGAGGGGCCAGAGGAGAGGGGGAAAGGAAGGAGAGATGTACCCAAGATGGCCCAGGTGGTCTGCATGGGGAAGAGAAGGCTAGGAGAAGTTGGAATAAGGTGAAAGAAAAAGAGGGAATAGGTGCCAGAGAAGACCAGGGAAACAGGGTGAAGGCAGGAGGGAATGCAGGGAGCTGGAAGGTTTCTGGAAGGTGACCCCCCCTCCCCTGGGGCCCAACTGGCCCTTATCTGGAGAAGGTTGCCTGGTTGACCACCAGTTAAAGCTGGTCCTGTGCGCCCTCTGGAGGCGGGATGTGGGAGCACACAGCAGCCCACTCTGCATGGCCTTTCAGCATAGGTCATCTCTTCACCCACTACGGGGCTTCCAGGGCTTCAGACTGCAGGGGTAGAAAGGTGACCAACTGCAGACGAAGACTACAATGATCCTCTCCTGCTCCTGCCTGCCTTCAAGGCTGCCAAGTCCTTAGCTGTGTCCTCCTGGCTTCCAGGGTACCTGTTCTACCACCACCACTCACATCATTCCCATGTGGTGCACACCAGGAGTCCTTGGGGACCCTGCCCCGTTGTCTAAACCTCCCAGTTTCCCTCTCCAACTCACCTCTCTCCTGGGATGCTGGATTCATCTGTCTAAAGCACAGTAAGATGGCCCTGTTCCAAATGCAGCTCCCTGTCTCTCCTTCCTCCTCTGCCTCCTACACTGCTCCTCCTAAAACCTGTTCACTCTCATCAGAAACCCCCTCAGGGCTCCCAATGGCAGAGGTCCTGTTGACCCCAGGGGATCTCAAGTATCCTTCCTCTCCTGCTACCCATCCTGCCCCACTTGTCCTTAACCTCACTGCCTGTTACAGCTGGACGGACTCACCTGCCCTCTCTGCCTGGAATGTTCTCCCCCACATAGCTGTCTGCTCACTCTGTCTTGCTCCTAGTCCTTGACTACCTTACTGACAATAGTACAGCTGTCCCCTTTCCCTGCACATTCTTGCCTGTCTGATGTCCTCTCCAAGTGATGTGGCTGAGTCTGACCGAGATGTACCCCAACCTTCCTGTCCTGGATTGAATTGTGTTCCCCACCACCACCACCATTATGTGTCATCTTGGCTGGCCCATGATTCTCAGTGGTTTGGCAGTTGTGTAATGATGTAACCATCCCCATGATGGGATCAACCATTCAGCTGTAAGGGGATTAGGGTGGGATGCAATACCCTTACTCAGGTCACAGCCCTGATCTGATGTAAGGGGAGTCTGCCTGAGGTGTGGCCTGCATTACCTTTTATCTTAGAGACAGAAAAGGAGAGAGAAGCCCACAGAGGAACCATGATTACCACCAAGAAAGAAAAACCAAGGGCAGAGTGCGTCCTTTGGACCCAGGGTCCTTGTGCTGAGAACCTCCTTGCCGCAGGAGATGACTGATGCCAAGACACATAGAGCTCTCCAAGGAACACTGTGCCCACAGATGTTGAAAGGAGACAAGAACCTTCCCCCAGAGCCAACAGAGAGAGCCTTCCGAAGCTTCCCCCAGAGCCAACAGAGAGAAAGCCTTCCCTGGAGCTGGCACCCTAAATTCAGACTTTTATCCTCTTAAACTGAGAGAATAAATTTGTTTGTTAAGGCCATCACTTTATGGTATTTCTGTTGTAGCAGCACGGATAATTAAGACACCTCCCCAGGACTGGGAGCACCAGAGCAGACCTTAAAACACAGGAGACACTGAATTGTTGTCCAAGTGAAAGCCTTCACAATTCTGGTCACTGCCAGTGCCCCTCCTGGCTTTCTGGCGTTTTGAACTTAGGATCTACCTATACAACTTAGGATCTGATCTCACCACTATGCTTATGACCCCATCTGGAGGTCAGGTAATGCCACAGCCATCTCCCCTGTGAGCACATGCAAAGTGGCATCTGGTGGGGATAAGCCCGTGTGAGTGTGGGCCATTGCTATGTCCTATCTTACTGGGGTGCTAGGGAAGGGCACTCCCTGTCTAGTTAGCCAGGCTGACCTTTCATGTGGAAGGCAGACCATAAGGATTTACTCTACAGAACCGTACAACTGTTAAGTGACAATGTAAACATCTCAGGGGATTTTCTTGCCAGTTTTCTCACGTCCCTGTCTGGTTAGCTGCCTGTGGCCAGTTCACCAAAGGTTAAGTAGAAGAGAGACAGGTGAAATCCAGTCAGTCTCCAGTCACCAAATTGCCACTGAGTTGACTTCAACTCATGGTGATTCCACTTGTGTCAGAGTAGAACCTGCTTCCTAGGGTTTTCATAATTTTTAGAAGTAGATCACCAAGTCTTTCTTCTGAGGCACCTCTGAGTGAACTCAAACCTCCAACTTTTTGGTTAGCAGCCAAGCACATTAAATGTACGTACCACCCAGGGACTCCTACTCTATTGTTAGTAGCTCTTAAAGGCTTTACTGGGAAGCTTCCCCCTGTGCAGTTCTTTTTTCCACACAGCTCTGTACTCCTAGAGTGTCTAAGAATGCCCAAGACCGTGGGACAGACCCTCTGGGGGTGGAGCCGCGTAGGGGCTTCAGTGGTGCCATGGACTTCCTGTGGCTGTCCTTGAATGACTGACTCCTGGAAGTTTCTGTGATGCCTTCCCAAGGGCCCATTTCTGTGGGATAGGTACCAGAAACTCCCATTCAGTGGAGGGAGACAAATGGAAGCGCCAGCTGAAGCAAGCACAGGTGAGCTGGGAAAGATGCAGCAAAAGCAGCAGTAAACCATGGACAGCCTGACTTACCCCTGGGCACTGCCCTCCCCATGCCTTCTGCAGGACCCTGAGACACACTGGAGAGGCCAGATAGATAAATCTATTATAAAGTTACACAAGTAGACCCAGGGCATAGTAAGCACTCAGCTAACCAAAAAGGTCAGTGGTTCAAATCCACTTGGTGGGAGAAAGATGTGGCAGTGTGCTTCCACAAAGATTACAGCCTTAAAAAGCCTACAGTGCAGTTCTAATCTCTTCTATAGGGTCAGTGAGTTGCAAATGACCCAGTGCCTATGGGTTTTAGTTTCTGTTAAGTTATATAGCAAGGATGGGGTGGGGGTGAGGGCAGTGTGACAAAGTCTAGTCCAATCAGGGACTCAGGACAGAGGCAGGGTCTGTGCACATTTCTGTATCCCCATCCCCAGCCCAGGATCTGGCACCAGTTAAGTGCAATGTAAAAATCTGCTGAACTGGACGTTACTAAACAGCATGGCTGCATGGACTCAGAGCAACTTTCTTAAAAACAGAACAGAGCCCTACACAGTCCACTGCCACTGTACGTCTGTAGGGGCAGGGATTCTCGGGGGGCAGTGGGGTTTGTTTAAGGAAAAGATCAACCAGAAAAACAGTATGCTGGGCTGTGGCCATGGGTGCATAAGCACCAGGCCTCCACCCTCGATTTCTTCCCCAGGACAGAGACCACAGGAGAACGAGACAAACACATGGTGCTAGTATAAGAGACTTTATTCTTTCTCCTTCATATTTCATATACAAGGCTCTGTTGTTTCATGGCTAGGGATTAACTTTACAATCACCATGGGCAGTGCCATTGTGGAGGCCAAGTATCTGCAATTTCCCTTTCTTCCTGAGAATTAGAGAACCGAGACAACTTTAAGAAACCTCACTACATTCCTTATTTACCAGTTTCAGAAGGCCTGAAATGTCGCTGCTGAAAGTTTCCATCTTGGAAAGGAATTGACTCTCCCTGCTAAGGGGTTGCCGGCTGCAGAAATCCCCTATTGTTATCAATCGGTACACACAACAGAGCACAGGACCTTTACTAATAAAGCTGGCATTTCTGGTCTCCTGTTTATTAGATGTGTGAACTTCAAATAATTTTCTTTCAAATATGAAATGTCAAATCTCAGATTGTAGGATAGTATTTCTCCACCTGATTACCCTCTTAGAAAAGTTGTCTCGGATTTTCATTTTTGGATACGCACAGTGAGTGAGGTCACTACAGCTCCTTCAAGCAGAGAGAGTAAATGCCCAGTAGCTCTCTCAGCTGTGGATTTTGCCTTCCCCTCCTAAGTGAAAGCAAATTTGGCCAAGTTGAATAGTAAAGTCACACCACAACCTATCCACAAAAATGACCAGAGCTCCCTCTTTAGGTAGAAAATACCCACAGATTTAAGCAGCAAAACAAATTCTTGCCATGTTCAAGCTGAACAGAAAGTGCCACCAACTCTGGTGGGCTGCAGCCAGGCCCCGCTGCACCGAGCAGCAGTGTTCTTCCTGTGTGGAGCTATCACTTCCCAGTGAGTTCCAGCACCTTCCTCACCATGGTCCCGATCCCGTCATGGATGTGGTGGAGCGCGGTCTCACACATGAAGGCGGGGGTCGTGACCACCTTGTTTTTCTGGTCCACATGAGCTTCGTGGGTGGAATTATGGAAAAACTGTCCCCCAACAAAGATCAGAGGGCATTCAAGCTGCCAAGCACTAACGCCTGCCTCCCCATTCCCAAACCACCACACAGTACACTTTTAAAGTTCTCAGTGTCATTCCAAATGGGGAAAAATTCTCCCCAGTGCAAGCTTCTTTGCTGAAAGGGCCCCATTTTGTGTACAGTTTATGATACTTTATTAAGCAAGATAGAATTTGTTTCTGATTGGTGTACTGTGATGGTTAACTTAAACGTACCATCTTGGCTAGACTGATTCCCAACTGCTTGTTCAAACACTACTCTACAGTCTGTTAATTGTGACTAAACCTTAAACAAAGCAGATCACTCTCTGCAACACGGGTGGGCCTCATCTCTTCAGCTGGAGGCCTGAGAAGCAAAGAGGGAGTTTCCCTAGGGTGTGCTCTGCCACCAAACTATAAACAAGACATCTTGCTAAAGCTCCCTCATTTTGTTCTTCCTATCACCTGGCCTATGGATTCTGGGATGCAAGCCTACAGGAGTCTCCAGCCTGCTGCCTGGCCTACGGATTTTGGACCCATCACTCTCCACAACTGCATGAACCAATTCTGTTGCTGTTGTTGTTTGCTGCGTTGAGTCGGCTCTGACTCACAGCGACCCTATGTACAACAGAACGAAACAATGCCCGGTCTTGTGCCAGCCTCACAATCCTTGCTATACCGGAGCCCATCGTTGCAGCCATTGCATCAATCCATCCTGCTGAGCCACTTCTCTGTGCAAATAAGTCTCTCTCTATACATAAAACCAAAAACACCAAACTCACGGCCATCAAGTTGATTCCAACTCATAGTGACCCTCTTTGGGTTTCTGAGGTGGTAAATCTTTATGAAAGTAGATCACCCCATCTTCCTTTCACTGAGCTGCTGGTGGATTTTAACCACTGACCTTCTGGTTAGCAGCCAAATGCCTTATCTACTATGCCACCAGAGCTCCTTCTCTCTCTCTCATCCTGGTTCTGTTTCTCCAGTGAACCCAGACTGTGACACATACATACTTAGGAGCAAGAGAGAAACTAGCACCTTATAGGTGAGTGTTGGTTTCATAAGCTTAACATTAACATGCCAATCATGGGGACCCCACTTACTAGGCATCTATCAGACTCCATGCTGAACAAGTGCCGCAGAATCACAGAAGTAACAACCCTCTTTAGAGAGACCTATAAATGTCCATGTGACATCAGCACCAGTTGTGTTGTCAGGGCACCAGGGGTCAGCTCTGTTGAGGGGCGGGGGTGGGGGTAAGGCATTACCCCAGCAAGACCTGGTTCAAAGGCCACCTGCCAAGGGCAGCCCAGAGGGGAAGGAAAAGCCCCAGGTGCAGCACCCACAGTCTCAGGGACAAGCATGTGGGGGGAGCATTGCCCTGGATAAGATCATGTTGCCCTGGGGACTCTGCCCCCAGCTGCCAGAAAGGATATGGTCACGTCCTTCACACAGTGCCTTGCACCCAGGGCTTTGATGGCCTCTGCAGTCCCGGTGTATGGCCACTTACCGCCTTCTTCCTGCTCATGGCCCACGGTGACCTCCACACCGTGCAGCACTCTGGCAGCAAGGGCAGGCGCAATGCAGCACAGGCTGGAAGAGGAGGAGGGAAAGTGAGCAGATTAACTTGCGTAGGTGGCAAACTACGGGATGAGGCACCCATGGGACCCACAACAACACTGACCATGCACGCCAGGGTCAATGCTGCTTCTCCAACCAGAAGAGCCCACTGCCTCCCCTTGAAACCTGCTGCCCTGGGCTTCCTGACCAGTGAATGTGGCAAAAGCAGTGGTGTGACTACTGGGCTCCACGTGGGAGATGTGTGCTTTTTCTTCAGTCTGTAGGACACTCAGGTTGGGAGCCTGGTGCCATTCTATGTACCACCACAGGGAGGAGAGCCAAAAGGCCAGGAAGGAGCCGTGCTCCCCTAGCAACCATGCTACCAGTCTCCTCTGAGCTCTCTTGTTGTTCTGGCCCCAGCATGTGTCCAAGGGCAACAGTCACAGCCACTCCACATGGTGCTGTGGTCAGGTCCCAAGAAGTGAGGGCTAATAGCAACAGCTGCTGTCTGAGTCCTAAGTTTTTGAGGCTTTGTTACACCATCAAGTCATCTCCGACTCACAGCGACCCTATACACAGCAGAACGAAACACCACCCGGTCCTGAGCCAGCTCCACGATTCTTCCTACACTTGAGCCCATCGCCGCCGCCACAATGTCAATTCACCTCATTGAGGGCCTTCTCCTCTTACGTCGACCCTCCACCTCACCAAGCATGACATCCTTCTCCAGGGAATGGTCCCTCCTACCAACATGACCAAAGTATAGGAGATGAAGTCTGGCCATTCTCACCTCCAAGGAGCATTCTGGCTGCACTTCCTCCAGGACAGACTTGTTAGTTCTTTTAGCAGTCCATGGTACTTTCAGCATTCTTTGCCAGCACTACAGCACAAAAGCATCAACTCTTCTTTGGTCTTCCTTATTCACTGTCCACCTCTTACATGCATATGAGGTGACTGAAATTACCGTGGCTTGTGTCAGGTGCACCTTAATCCTCAAGGAGACATCTTTGCTCACCATCACCTGAAAGGTCCTTTGCAGCCAATTTGCCCAGCGCTGTACGTTGTCTGATGTCCTGACTGCTGCTTCCACTGGTGTCGATTGTAGAACCAAGCAATGTGAAGTCTTTAACAATTTCAATCTTTTCTCCATTTATCATAATGCTGCTTATAGGTCTAGTTGTGAGAATTTTTTGTTTTCTTTATATTGAGATGCAATCTATACTGCACACTGTATTCTTCAATCTTCATCAGTAAGTACTTCAAGTCACCCTCACTTTCAGCAAGCAAAGTTGTGTCGTCAGTGTACTCCAAGTTGTCAATGATTCTTCCTCCAATTCTGATGCCACGTTCTTCCTCATATGGTCCAGCTTCTCAGATTATTTGTTGAGCATACAGATTGAGTAAGTATGGTGGAAGGATACAACCATCACGTGCTCCCTTCTTGATTTTAAACCATGCAGTGTTTCCTTTTTCTGTTTGAATGACAGCTTTCTGGTCTATGTACAGGTTCCTCATGAGTACAATTAAGTGTTCTGAAATTCCCATTTTTCTCAATGTTATCCACAATTTGTTAAGATCCACACAATCAAATGCTTTTGCAGAGTCAATAAAACACAAGGAAACATCTTTCCGGTATTCTTTACTTTGAGCCAAGATCTATCTGACATCAGCAATGATACTCCTCATTTCACATCCTCTTCTGAATCCAGTCTGCACCTCTGGAAGTTCTCTGCCATTATACTGCTGCAACTGTTTTTGAATTATCTTCAGTAAGATTTTACTTGCATGTGATATTAATGATATTGTTTGATAATTTCCACATTCTGTGGAACCACCTTTCTTTGAAATGGGTACAAATATGGATCTCTTCCAGTCAGTTGGCCAGGTAGCCGTCTTCCAAATCTCTTGGCATAACCGAGTAAGTGCTTCCAGTGGGGCATCCATAGGTTGAAACATCTCAACAGGTATTCCATCGATTCCTGGAGCCTTGTTCTTCCCCAATTCCCTCAGCTCAGCTTCAACGTCTTCCCTCAATACCACTGGTTCTTGAACATATGCCACCTCCTGAAATGGATGAACATTGACCAGTTCTTTTTGGTACAGTGACTCTGTGTATTCCTTCCATCTTCTTTTGATGCTTCCTGCATCATTCAATATTTTGCCCATAAAATCTATCAATATTGCAACTTGAAGCTTAAATTTTTTCCTCAGTTCTTTCAGCTTGAGAAATGCCGAGCGTGTTCTTTCCTTTTGGTTATCTAACTCTAGGTCTTTGCACGTTTCATTATAGTAATTGGCTTTGCTCAAGCTGCTCTTTGCAATCTTCTGTTCAGCTCTTTTATCTTGTCATTTCTTCCATTTGCTTTAGCTACTCTCTGCTCAAGGGCAAGTTTCAGAGTCTCTTCTGACATCCATTTTGGTCTTTTCTTTCTTTCTCGTACTTTTAACGACCTTTTGCTTTCTTCATGGATGATGCTCTTGATGTCATCACATAGTTCTTCTGGTTTTTGGTCACTGGTGTTCAATGCATCAAATCTATTCTTTAGATGGTCTCTAAATTCAGAAGTGATATACTGAAGATCATATTTTGGCTCTCGTGGACTTGTTTTAATTATCTTCAATTTCACATTGAACTTGCATATGAGCAAGCAATGGTCTGTTCCACAATCAGCTCCTGGCCTTGCCCTGGCCTTGTTGTTGAGCTTTTCCATTGCCTCTTGCCACAGATATAGTCAGTCTGATTCCTGTGTACTCTGTCTGGCAAAGTCCACATGCACAGCTGTTGTTTGTGTTGTTAAAAAAGGTATTTGCAATGAGTAAGTCGTTGGTCTTGCAAAATTCTATGATGTGATCTCCAGCATTATTTCTGTCACCAAGGCCAAATTTTCCAGCTACCAATGATTTTTGTTTGTTTCCAACTTTTGCATTCCAATCACCAGTGATAAGCAACACATCTTGATTGCATGTTCAGTCAATTTCAGACTGTGAAAGTTGATAAAAATCTTAAATTTCCTCATCTTTTGCTTTGGTGGTTGGTACATAAGTTTGGGGAGCTCTGGTAGCATAGTGGCTAAGACACTTGCCTGCTAACCAGACGGCTGGCGGTTCAAACCCACCAGCCACTCCTCGGAAGGAAGGTTGGGCAATCCTACTTCCGTAGTGATACTGCCTCGGAAACCCAAGGAGGGGTCGCTATGAGTCAGGTATGACTCGACGGCACGTAACAACAACAACAACAACATAAATTTGAGTAATAGTCATATTAACTGGTCTTCCTTGATTAACTGCTCTTCCTTGAGGAAGACCATAATCATCACTAACACCACAGCTTTATTCACTAATATTAGCCAGGTGTCCTTCTCCAGGGGGAGCACACAGTTAGTTAAAGCCAGACCTCTCCTGACTCAGTACACATGGTAACTCCTCAGGGACAAGCAGCACTCAGGGTGGGCAGTGATGGGTCAGTGGAGAGGGCTCTGGTTGATGCTGGCACAGCAGAATGCCTGTCCAGGGAGCACAGGGTCCCCACTTCCTGAGCACCTGCCCCTGGGATGTTTCCACAGCTCTGCTCCTCACCAGAACCCCTTTCTTACTCTGCCCTCAGCAACAAGCACCTCCCGAGCCAGTTCGGTCTAACCAACTGTCACCAAGGACCTTCTGTGTGCCAGGCGCACAGTGATTAGCTCTGCCCCAACCCATGGGCTCAAATGGCAAGGCCAGCAAATACACAAAGAACACACTGTGAGCAGGGCGATGGAGAGGGAACACGTGGCAGCTCTAGGACCTTCAGCCGGCTCATTGTGCTGCCAGCATGCCCATGGGGCCCTTGGCTAGACTGCCCCAAAGCTGGCCCCCCACCTACTCCTGCCTAGCACATCTGCCCTTCCTCTGCCACCACCTTCACCCTGCCTCATTCCCAGCCTTCCCTTATTCTCACACACCCCTGTTGTTTATCTTGAACAGCCCTTATCTGGTTGTATCACAACCTCTTCAAAGGCTGGGTAGAAGCTGCTGGAAGCAGCCCTAACAAAATACTCTTACATCAACTATACACTTGTTCAACTGTTTCATCAATCAATTGGTTTCATCAATTGAAACCAATTCTATTCAGAGATCTGAGATAAGTGTTTCTCTGGCCCAACAAAGGAAAAACAGATTACTCGTAGTGACAGGCTGTGGCATGTCCTGCGTGGAGGCTAGCAGAGATAGGCCTACTGCCTATCAGAGGCACGCAGGAATGAGTGTAGGGCCCACGCCACTGATGTGACCATGTGTGTGACAGCCACATCAAGATCAGGCTACAGATGGAACAAACTCTAATGAGCGTGGTCCTGACACCTCAGAGGCCCTTCCTGCGATTTTGCTTGCACTCAGTGAACCAGCAGAGCCCCTAGAAAGCCCTTGTGTCTGCCACGTCTCCGCTTCTGACCACCAGCCTAGAGATGGAAGGGAAGGCGGGAGGAAGGCAGGCCGGCCCAGTGACCTTGAGAGGATTACTCAGCGTGGCAACAGCAACCTAGGAAACACCCTCACTTCTAGAAAAAGCAAGCCAAGGAAACTGCCCCAAAGAGGTGGCTGAGCGTAGGTTTCTTATCAGCTGCCCAGAGAGTCCACACAGAATGCCCACTCTGCTCCTGGTCGGCCCCTGGACAGTAACAGGTTCAGGTGAGGGGTGTGCCTCCACACATGGGCATAATGTCTGGCAGGAGGGTGGGTGACCTGCTTTCGTGTCTGGTCATGTTTCAAATTAGTTACAACAGAGAGGCTCGCACTGGTGTTTCTCTTGACAGCGGCAGGGTCAGGGAAGGGGATAGACATGCAGCATCCTCACCCAGACTGTGACATGGCTGCTGCAGGGCCCAGGCAAGGTGCTTCCTTCTCAAGCACTGTCCTTGCACTGTCTCACTAGATCTGATCTGGGGACATGAGAGTAAGGTGCTGCACAGTGCCAGAGTCCCAGGCCAGTGGCCCAGAGGCTGATGTCATCTATGCAGCCTCAGGAACCCTGGGACAGTGCTGGGCACTGAGCTGGCCATATTCAGGCAACAGGATTGCTGGTGGGGAGCAGACAGAGGATTCTACCCAGGATTTTGTTCTTTCTCGGTTTATGATGACACAAGTAGGGAGCATCTGTCAGATGAAGGTATCAGGAGTGGCTTGAGGTCGGCCAAATAACAACTGCTGTTTTGTTGATGTTTGTGTCCAGCACCCTGCCCATGAAAGGGTTTCTCCAGCCCAGTGAGGGGGCACCAAGGCCTGCCAAGGACCCCCAATACTCCATGCCCAGCTTAGACTCTGAATCTGCAGAATCCACGAGACCTACTTCTGAGGATCAGGTTATAATCGGCACACAACCCCACTGCTGGCTGTGAGCCACAAGGGAACTCAGATGTGGTTAAGTCTGCATCAGTCTGGGCATGTGACCACCTCGTGTGTGGGTAGGCAACCAGCACGTGGTCCTTGTGGGTGAGGCGGCAGTCTGGAATGGTGTGTGCTAGTGGCAAGGATCACCTGCAAGGGATGTCTCAGGAACAAGTACAAAAACACCAGGTGCAAGGTTCTGACCAAGTACTGGCGGTGGGGGTGGGGTGGGCTGGGGGCATGAAGGAAAGGTGGCTAGTAAAAGGTTGGGGTCAAAAAGAGGCTGACCAGTGACCCTGTGGGACATTGGCAGGACTGTAGACTGCCTATGGGGAAGGGAAGCACACCCCCTCTCTTGAGAGTTATTAGGACAGGAAAGCAATGTGTCTACAGAAAGAAAGAATTTTCTACACTGGAAGCCCTGTGATGTTGTGTAAAACTCCCTCACCTCTCCTTAAGGTATGAAGATGAGTGGGGGGTTGAGAGCACACAGCCCAGAGTGGCAGCTCCACCTTAGCACAACAGGCCACTGGTCCTCAGGCCACACCCTCCTTCCACCAGTACCTGGCCTTAGACGGAGACCAAACAGCCCATGGTCCCTGCGTGAACATCCAACCACCACCAGACCCCAGGGCACACGCACCCAATGGGCTTCCCAGCGCCATGGAACTCCTTCAGCACACGTTCCACATCTTTGTTGACTTTGCAGTCCTTCCCGTCCACCGCAAATGTGCTCCTGCCATGAGGGAAAAGCCTTCCTCAGAGAGAGACTGCCACACCCAATTCATTTACTCAGGACACTTCCAGCCCCACCTCCCATCAACCATGAGAGAAAAGCCTTCCCAGAGAGCAATAACCCCTAGTCCTGCTAAACACTTAGCTTCTGTCCCCCACCCCTCACAGATCTTACGCACACGCTGTTACTCAGAAGCATTTGAAGTGAAAACACACATATGTGTGTACACGTGTGAAGATGTAATTTTTTAGAGAAAAGCACAGAAAGCAGGGCACAAGAGGGAGGGGCAGGGTGGGGAAGTGACAATGGTCTGAGCTAGCCAGAGACCACAGAGACTCGGTCAGTCTGTCCTACCCCTACACCAGGGCAACGCTTTACACTTGCACTTGCACACGGGAAGTCAAGAGGCAGCAAAACATGTCAGAAATCAGAAAAAAGAGTTTCAGAAAAAGAAATTACGTGGCCTATAAACAATCAAAGATGCTTGACTTTACTAACAATCAAAGAAATGCCGATTAAAACAAGAGACCCTCTTCTTCACCACTCGAGCAACTAATGAGTTGCTGAAGGCATAGAGAAAGCCCCTCAGCCACAGAGGCATAAACTGAGGCAATGTCTTTGGAAGGCAATTCAGGAATGCATTTCAAAATTAAAAACATACACACCTTTCTACCAAGAATTCCAGTAATAGCTTCACTCTAGTTCTTTATTCTATTTCTTAATCTAGGATATCTAAGCAGCACTGTTTGTAACTGCAAAGGACTGGGAAATCTTTTGGGAGATGGGTGCCTATTATCCTGACCACAGTAGCTTCACATGGTGGTATACATGTCAAAACTTATAGCACAGAACACTTTAATGTATGGCAATTATACCTCCATCAGCTATTAAAAACAAACAAATCAAAAGGGAAGACTGGATAGACTGTATTTTCTGCATATAACCCACCCATGGAATGAACACGTACATGCATTATCACACACACAGAGACTAGCATGCAAGGGATTTGCCCAAAAATGTGTAACATGCACATTATTTACATAAAACTACCATAATCCAAACACCCATCAGTAGCATACTAGTTTAACAAGTCATTGTATAGCTCTCCAGTGGAATATATGCCAACTTTAAAAATGATGAACAATGCCCAAGCTATACTGTTAAGTGAAAAAATCTTGTATGTACTCGTGTCCCCTAAAAATATATGTCAAAGTCCTAACCTCTGTACCTAAGGATGTGGCCCTGTTTGGGAACAGCTTTCACGTTAAGGGGGTTATACTAGAGGAGGGTGAGTCCTAAACCTAATCCCTTCTGAATGGTGTCTTATAAAAAGAGCAGAACAGACACACAAAGACACACATGGTGGAAAGATCAACACCATGCACCTATAAGCCCAGGGATGCCAAGGATTGCTGGCAGATATCAGAAACTAGGAAAGAGGCCACAAAAGGAATCAACACACCAAGACTCTAATTCAGACTTTTAGCCTCTTGAACTGTTGGGAATTAAACTTCTGTTTTTTAAAGCCCCTCACTTGTGGTAACTGTATTACAGCAACACTAGAAGACTAAAACAAATACAAAGCACAGAACAGTTAAGTTTAAGATGCTATCATTTTGTTAATTTTCAACCCACCCACATACACATAATCTGAAATAAATGCAATAAACTGGTAATGTGAACTCAGCCGGGGCCTGGGCCATCAAAGGCTGCCTTTTTTCTGGAAAATTCACCTATGATGGGGCCAGCAACCAGGAGATGGAGCTGCCCCCAGATGGGAATATGAGCTTGTGGACCTTGAGGCTAGTAAGCTCATCAAATGCTGGGATGCAATTCACCAAAACAAATAACCTCAACTCGCCTCATGTCAATGCTTTTAAATCAACAAGATGTGAGTCGTCAGCCATGTTGGGGAGACATGACGCCTAGACGAGTCTTCAGGCTGTTCTTCCACCCACTAGGGGAGGTGCCAATGGTCAGAGGTAAGGCTCTACATGTGTGAATTTGACTCCTGCTTCCAAGACTAAAGCCCTGAGCCTGGAACCTGCCCTCTTTGGAAGTAAAAATCAGCACATGCAGGCACTCTGCCATCTCCCATCCAGGAATCTGGAACAGGAAGACAACATGGGCAAATTACTGAAAAAACATCAGTTGTGATTTGCTAAGATAGTTTCCCTTTCAGGGCTGACCCTTAGGAGAGGGTCTGGAGTGGCATGAGGTGGCTCCTACAAGGAGAATGGATGAGTTGGGAAAAGAGAGAGCTCAAACCCAGATGCAATGGCCCATTCCAAACCCTGCAGGGAAGGGGGGCTCGTGGGTCCAGAGTGAGGAAGACATGGGATCAGGATCATCATGCTTTAGAAGGCTTAGCCAAGTCTTCCCCTTGCTCCGGGTGCAGGACACCCAGAGCAGGGAGAGTGCACAGCCAGCCTGGAGGGCACTGTGCTACTACAGACAAAGGAGTAAAAGACAACTTGCCAACAAGACAAACCAAGATGATCATGTTGAGTGGACCTGGATGGAAGATGACAAACTATTAATACAATTTCCAGAAACAGAGGTCAAGCAGGCAGTTGGAATGGGGGGTGAAAGAATGGCTAGGGCCTGAGATCTACAAGTGGGAGTTGTATGAATGGACGTGACAACTGAAGCCATGTGCAGAGATGAAATTCCTGGGGGCGCAAATGGGGATCCACACAGGAGAGAAGAGCCAGCGAGGGGGTGCAATTAGCACATCTGAAGAGAACCAAGATGGGCCTGAGTCAAGGAAGCCAGGGGGCTTCCAGAGTCAAAAGAGGGATAAAGAGGGTGAACCAAGTTTAGGATGAGATTACAAGTAACCTTTAAGGGATAACCTGAGCAGCACAGCAATGAAAGAACCAACCACGTGAGGCAAGAAGATGCTGAGAGGGTCTGACAGTGAGAAGGGGATGCAGGAATGGTTAAACTAGGGGAAGGAGGACAGGAGTCAGAAGGAAGGAGCACCCATAATCAAGGCTGCAGATTCCTAGGCCTCAAAAGTGGCCTGGTGAATGGGGTAAAAAGCCACGAGGATTTGTTTTGTGCTCCTACAAAGTAGGGAGGTTGTAGCAAAGCATTTTGTTGGATTTGTCGTCTATTATCAGAGACCCCAGAGCAAAAATACATCCAGGTCTAGACCTTGCTCTGGGACACGAGGTCTTAACCTCAACGTAGGGGAGCATTCAGCCCTGGACCCTACTTTACTACCTGCTTCATCTCCATCTGGATTGTCACCACACTGTCACACACTCAGACTGCAACCTCTGGACACGAGCTATTTCCCATCCTTCCATACTTAACAGCTGAACTTAATGCTCCTAGAAATACTGCAAAACTCCACTAAAAAGTCAGTCACTAGAGAGTGGCCCTCCGTCCCCTCAGGCTGGGACAGCATGTGGACAGTGAAGCCACACTAATTATATTATCATGAGACATGAATGAGAAATCAGAGTTGGAAAAGGGAATCTGAAACCTGGAGGACGTCACAATGGAATATGCTGCTGCCTCCCAAGCTCATGTGCCACTGACTGTGGCCACAGAGAGTCGAAAGCAAACTGAAAAGGAGGAAGGGCTTCCTTGCTCCTTCCAGAGAAAAACGTCATTCAAAAACATGTCAACAGGAAAAGAACTTTCCACACTCCAGACTGTACAGAACTGATGTTTTTAAGGAACAAAAACACTGAGGTGGATGTGAAGTCATATAGGGCATTCAGTGACAGCACGGCCCATACCCTGTGACTGCGTCCACTACCAGATGAGCTCTGTGAAGACAACCCTCCTGGGAAAAAGTGAGAACCATTCATGCCCTGTGGAAATACTAGCAAAGCTTCAAATCTAACCATCGATCCCTCATTAATGGCGGAGCACACACTGTTTGGACCCTAAAGCCCACCAACAACATCGTTTCCATGTCTATTGCATCTTGTGAAAAGCAGTAGATGACCCCAAATATCAAAATACACACAGGTTTTTGGCTGCTCCGAATCCTCCAGGGAAGATGGCAGCATCGTGGTCAACTGCATGGAGCTGGGCCAGGTCAGTGATCTTGCCACGTGCAATCCTTGCTGATTCTGTCAGAACATTCCTGGGAGAAGAAGAGAGTAGCTTGACAGAAAGGTTTAGAGCACAGACAGAAGGTAGGAGAAGGGTGCAGGGGAGTCGAGAGCCCCAGTCCCCACAGAAAGGCAAGAGTACACATTGTTCCATGAAGGCCTTGACTTGGGGAAGTGTGTTCACACCTGCAGAAAACTTGTGTTCCTTTTTTAATTCTTATTGTGATATGGGTGGAAGTTTACAAAGCAAATTCATTTTCCACATAGCAGTTCATACACATTTTGTTTCATGACATTGACTACAATTCCCCACAATTTAACAGCTTTCTTCTCACTTCCTCCCCATAGTTACCTCTTCCATGTCCTTCCCTCCCAAGCACTCCCCATGATCCCCCACAACTGTCTCCTTATGCAAATGCAAACACTGCCCTTTTGTTCTCCCACAACTGAGGGCTCTAAGGAGTGTATCTACCTGATGTAAATGTTCACTCCATATGCCCGTTGTTTAGCACGAAGCCATAGGAGTGAGTTCAGTTACAGACCTGAAGGGTAATTAGGGGCCATAGTCTCAGGGGTCTCACCAGGCTCTATCAGACCAGCAAACCTGATCTTTTTTTTTCTTTTATGATTTTGAGTTTTGTTCCACATTGTTTTCCCACTCTATCCAGGATTTCTTGTACCGATCCCCCTCAAGTGGTTGACAGTGGTAGCTGGGTACCATTTAGTTCCGGTTTCATGGTCACAGAGGCTGAGGATCACATGATCTACCAGGCCCTTGGACTAACTGAAACTTGTGTTTCTAATACAGCATTCAAGGTCACTGCCAGGAAAGGCAGGATACTTAGTGTAACAATAATGCTGAGCTCAAATGTTTCTTGGAATTCTTTCAGAACTGCATTTCAGGACCTACAGCAAATTACTCTGAACCTTCTGCATTGGCCAAGGTCCAGGGAGGAAAAGCTAACCCTGCATGTGTTTAAAGCAGACAGAATTTAGTACAGGAAATCAGTTAAACAGGTAATGGGAAGATTAAGATGCTATGAAGTGGGTTAAATGCAGCAAGGTAAAGATTTGCAACTGCAGGAAACGGGCACCACCTTGGGCTTCTGGGGCAAAGGGGGCAGGCTTGGCTTGTAGTCGGGGTGGGGGGCGGTTTGCTAACAAGTGGAAACTGCAGCCACAGAAGAGACAAAGCTTCGTTTTTTAATTCCCACCATCCCCTCCCCACAGTCTGAACCCAGGTGGAAGATACTGACACTGGTGCCTGGGACACACAGCCTGCAGCACAAGGCAGAACTGCTCTCACAGAACCCAAGACTGGACGTATCTTGGTGACAGAAACACTCTGGGAAAGAGCTAAAGGCCCATGGAATTGACACTGGTCAGATGGGAGAGATCAGATCAAGGAGCGGCCACTGGTGGAGGGGAGCTGCCAGGTCAAACAGTGTGGTCCCTGGTCAGAGAAAGTGAAGATAGCTACACTTCATGGGAGATGACAAATTCAACCTCCTCTCACTGTTCAGGTAAGTGCTAGATGATGAGAAATCTTCTGTGTTGCCCATGTCAACTGAGGCACAATGGGAGCTTCTCAACATGTCTCTATCCTGCCCATTCATCACATCTAAACACAAGAGCTCTGGTAACATACTGCCTAAGGCACTTGACTTCTAACCAGAAGGATGGCAGTTCAAACCCACCAGCCACTCCTCGGAAGGAAGACTGGACAATCTACTTCCGTAGTGATACCGCCTAGGAAACCCAAGGAGGGGTCACTATGAGTCGGGTCCAACTCGACAGCACATAACAACAACAACAAAGACAAGAGGAGTGACTCACCTGGTCTCTCCCTCAGAAGGCTGCCCCTTGGTGTGGTCAATCACATGCATCTGTGGCACATTTGGGGCAAAGATCTGAACATCAGCACCTCCGCGGCTCAGGTGGACCAGGATCCTGCACAGGGATCAAAAAGGCAACTTCAAGACATATCTACCCAGAAATGTAATGTTATTCATTTTCAAAGAAAGGTTTTCAGCTAGAGGACTGAAGAGATCATCAGTCCCAATGCCTCACTTCATAAACTGAGGCACAAGGGTTGGGTGACGAAGCTGGTACTACAGGCTGATTCCAGTACCCAGTCTGCTGGTGAGTGCTTGCCCTTTACCACAGCCAGTCTGACCTCACACAAGCTTCCATGGGTGAGCACACCACAGTGAACACCCCAGGGATGAGGAGGCAACAGCTGCAGCTTTGACAACTGTGTATAACACAGTTTAGTGGTAGAATTCTCATCTTCCATGCAGGAAATTCTATTCCATTTCTGGCCAAAACACCTCATGGGCAGCCCCCACTTGTCTGTCAGTGGAGGTTTGTGTGTTGCTATGATTTTTAACAGACTTCAGTGGAGCTTCTAGACTGAGACTAGGAAGAAAGGCCTGGTGATCTTCCAAAAAGAAAAAAAAAAAAAAATCAGCTAATGAAAACCCTGTGGATCACAACAATACAAATCATAACCAATCATGGGGATGGCACAGGATCAGGTAGCATTTCACTCCACTGTACATGGGGTTTTGAGCAGTCGGGGCAACCTAATGGCAGTGAACAAACTTAGTATGCTCAATGACCAATTTTCCCCAACTTCTCCATAGAGGGGTGCAGTGGTTACGTTTGTGTGTCAACTTGGCTAGGCCTGGTTGAATGGTTGGGCAGCTGGATGTAGTATTCCCCATGATGAGACTGGTAATCAACTCCATGGTGGAAACTACTGGGAGCAGCTGAGTAGCTGCCTTTGGGTAAGTGGTCTGCTTCCCATATATAAGAAACAGCTTTGGGAATGGTCTCTAGCTTATGGCATGTTTGAACCCTACATGTAGTTGTGTCACTGTTCAGCAGCCTGCCATGCTCTGCTAACCTTGGGACTCACAATGGAGTTGAATGAATGGCCTGCCATGTGGTTTGGAAACATTGGGACTGTGGCTTTTTACCTATCATCCTTGGGTTTGTCAGTCTCAGCAGCCAACAGCTGTCTGAGTGAAGAAACGCCTCTAGCTCCAGTGGGCCAGGAGCAAGAAGCAGAGCTGAACCCCAAGGTTGAGGGGCTTTCACCCAGCCCCTAGAGCCTGGCACTTTCAACTTGGATTAAAGCCTCCAAACTGTAAGAGAATAAACTCCTACTTGCTAAGGCCATCCCATTTATTCCTGTCAGAGCAGCATTAGACAACCAGAACAAGGGGGTTAGGAAAGACACAGCGACCGGCATAAGCAGGCCAGGAGGAAGTCTCCCCTCCCCAAGGGCCCAGGAAACCACTAGTGATGACAAAAGCTGACGTTAAGTGCTTGTTCTGTGCAAACCACAATCCCAAATACCAATGCATAACCACTCACTATCACCCACCTAGAGCTGGTGCGATGACTATGCCCCTTGTGCAAGTGAGAAGACTGAAATATGGGAGTGGAGGAACTTGCTGAGATTCTCATTAGTATTTGGCCATCAGGATCTGGCCTGGGTGCCCGGGTCCCACTACGTGGCACCACCTAGGCACTGCAGAGACATTTCCTTGTCCATGTGCCTGGGAGCTGCCAAGCCATGCCCTGCCTCCTCCACTTCTGGACTCCCAAGCCCAGAAAACTCACCAGGGTCCTTAGTTGCCTACCAGCTCAGCTTACTGTTAAAGTTCACTGCTGTGTCTAGTGTCCACAACACTCACGTGGGCGACACTGCCAATGGAGGGCAGGTGCCACTACTGTGCAGAGCCATTAGCCTCAGGCTCCTTAAGGTAGATGAGAGCCGGAATTTCCTGGACAAGAAGTACACAGGCACTGCAGGGGTTATTCCCTCTCACTCTCCTCTCTCCAACTGACTCTGCATCACTTGGGGAACATGATGAGCTGGCCACTGGAGCAGCCTACTAGATATGCTCACAGTTGCTTATTAAAACAAAATTAAAAGTCAAGCACAAACTAATGAACTGATTACATAAACTATGATCTGTCTACAACCTAGAATGCAAAGCAACCATTAAAAACCATGCTGTATAACATACTACACAAAAACACTGTCTACATCCTACTTTGGTGAGTAGCGACTACGGTCTTAAAAGCTTCCAAGTGGCCATCTAGATGCAACAATGGCTCTCTCCTCATCCAGAGCCAAGAATGAAGAAAACCAAAGATGCATGGAAACAGTCCAAAGTACTGGCAGACCATGCGATTCTCAGTCTATATGACCCATGAGACCAGAAGTAGTAGATGATGCCCAGCTACAACTGTCAACCACTCAAAGGGGAATCAGCAGAGCAGATCCTGGATAGAGTAGAAGAACAATGTAGAACAAAACTCAAAAGCATAAAAAAAGACCAGGTTTGCTTCTCTGACAGAGCCTGGTGAGACCCCCTAGCTACCTTTCAGGCCTAGAATTGAACTCACTGCTGTGGGGTCCAGCCAAACAGTGGACAGACATATTGGGTGGACATTTACATCAAGTAGACACATTCCTTGCAATGATGAATCATCAGAGAACAGAATGGCAGTGTTTACACAGAAAGATAGCTGGGGGGCGGACAGGAATGCACAAGGAGGACACAGGGAAGACATAACTGGGGGGGGGGAGTGGGATGAGAGCTGTTAAACTGTGGAGAATTGCAGTCAACATTGTAAAACAAAATGTGGATGAACTGCTCTATGGAAAATGAATTTGCTCTGTAAACTTTCACCCAAATCACAGTAAAAATTGGGGGAAAAAAATGCTGCAGGTAATTAAGGCATGGGAGTGAGTACAGATAGAGGTGAGGAAAATGTTTCCAAGTGCACATTCAGTCTAACTATGCTGCATGTGAAACATGTACTGAAAAATACCAGACAGAAAATACCGTGGTCATCTCTAGGTGGTAAACTTGTTGTTAGTTGCCATCAAGCCAATTCCAACTCGTGGCGACTCCACGTGTGCTGAGCAGAAATGTGCTTCCTAAGGTTTTCAGGAGCTCTGGTAGCATACTGGCTAAGACACTTGCCTGCTAACCAGACGGCTGGCGGTTCAAACCCACCAGCCACTCCTCGGAAGGAAGGTTGGGCAATCCTACTTCAGTAGTGATACTGCCTCGGAAACCCAAGGAGGGGTCGCTATGAGTCGGGGCCGACTCGACGGCACATAACAACAACAACAACAGGGTTTTCAGGGCTGTTCCTTTCAGATCCCCAGGCCTTTTTTCTGACACACCTCTGGGTTGGTTCAGAACCACCAATCTTTCCACATGGTGCTTAACTGTTTGCATCATCCAGCTACCTGGGTGACAGGCGATATGTTTTAAATTTCCTTTTGTCTCCCTGTTTTGCACAGGGCATTTTTTAAATCTTTGTATCCCCCTATATTTTGGAGATTTATTTGCCCTTTTAATCAGAGAAAAGTTATTACAAGTGCAAACTTCCCAAAGGACTTGGGCGGGAACGAGGGCTCTGTCGCTAAGGCCTTACGCTGAAGCCTCGTGTATCTCGGTTCCGTCATAGACGCCGCATCCGGACAAAACCTAAGAAGAGAGGGCGGTGTCAGTCCGGGCCCGACCTCCGGCGGCCGGGCGCGCGCGGTCGTGTCCCCGACACCCTCCCCGCGGGTCCTGCTCTCGCCAGGCCCCGCCTCCCTCTGGAGACTTGAGAACGCTCGCATGCCTGGGCCTTGCACTCACCAGCGCGACCTTGGCTCTGGAGCGCGGCGCGGAGCTATGGAGGGCCGCGCTAGACGAAAGCACTTGCCTGCCGGGAGACAGCATCCCCAGGCGTCCAGGGAGCGGCGCAAATAAACAGGCCGCTGCCAGCCTTGGCGCCATCAGAACCCTAACAGCAGTCATAACAGCGCGGAGTACTGTGGGGGCAGGAGGTGATGAAGAGGTGGGCAGGGCCGCGCCTGCGCAGAGTCGCCGGAGTGCCGTCCTGGGACCCGCCCCCGTTCCGGCCCCGGGAGTGCGTTGGTGGGCAGGGCCGTGTCTACCCACAGTCTCCAGCGTGGAGCCCTTGGCTCGCCCCCACGAACATGGCGGTAAACGGGGCTGCGCCTGCACAGAGTCGCAAGGAAGTCCTTTCCGGCTCGTTCGTTTGAGCGCGCCTATGGGCGGGGCCGCGCCTGCGCAGAGTTGCCGTGTGGGGTTCCATATTGTCCCGCCAACGCGGAATTCGTGCTGAGGACTGCCTGTCCCTATCCCTCCAGGTCCCCGGGACTGGGCTCCCGTCCATCCCTCCTTGCCCCTCGGTGATCTTGGGCTACCTAGGTGCGATGGCAGGTAGAAAGCCGCCAAGCCCTGGGTCCACGTGATCCACCGATATGAATCGCTCTCTCCCACTCTATCCAGAGATCTGGGGTTGAGTACCTTTTGGTTCCCCCCAGTGCGGGCCTCGCTGCCCGGCGACTGGGGAGTGTTCCCCTAGGACACAGTCCTTTTAAGAAAAATCAGAGATTTCAAAAGCAGACCAGAGTAAAATGAGTCCCGGGAGTCCTTCACTCAGCTTCAACAGGAACCCCTCAAGGCTCGTCCTCAAGCTCCACCTCCAACCCATTCCATCCTGGAACATCCCTATGTTTAACCAAATCCTATACTCTTTATGGGAGCTCTGGTAGCATAGTGGCTAAGACACTTGCCTGCTAAACAGACGGCTGGCGGTTCAAACCCACCAGCCACTCCTCGGAAGGAAGGTTGGGCAATCCTACTTCTGTAGTGATACTGCCTCGGAAACCCAAGGAGGGGTCACTATGAGTCGGAAACCCAAGGAGGGGTCACTATGAGTCGGGGCCGACTTGACGGCACATAACAACAACAACAACATACTCTTTATAGCTCTATAATAGGGTCTCTTAAAGTGACACTGTGGACATTTTGGGTCAAGTTATTCTCCTTTGTGGGGGCATCATATATATGTACCTGGGGTGTTTAGCATGATCTTGTCCTCTACCCACTAGATGCCAGTAGCTCCCCCTCCCCAAGTTGTGACAACCAAAACTGACTACAGACATGGCCAGATGTTCCTTGGGAGATGGGTGTGTGGGGCAAAAATTACAGGTGGTTGAGAATCAGTTTTGAAAGACAAAGATTGCTCAAAACAAAACCAAACTCACTGCCATCTAGTTCATGGGACTGAAGTAGATTGCTTCATCTTCCTTCTGCTGAGTGGCTGTTGGATTTGAACCACCAACCCTCTGGTTAGCAGTCAAACACCTTAGGCACTGCATCACCAGAGCTCCTTGTTAGGTGGTCCTGCTATAATAGAAATACCACAAGTGGGTGGCCTTAACAAGTTTATTTTCTCAACAGTTTAGGAGGCTAGAAGTTTGAATTCAGGGTGCCAGCTCTAAGGGAAGGCTTTCTCTGCTGGCTGTGGAGGAAGATACTCGTCGCTGAGCTTCTGCCCCTGGGTGATCTCTGTGCCCTGGCATCTCGTTTTTCCCATCTCTGGTTCTCTGCTTGTTTGTTTAATCTCTTTTATATTCAAGAGATTGACTCAAGACACATCCTACATTAATCCAACTTCATTAACATAACAACCCACTCCCAAATGGAACTATAACCACAGGCATAGAGGTTAGGATTTACAAGTTTTTTGGGGACATGATTCAATCCATAACACTCCTTAAAATAATTTCAATATCATTACCATGCTTAATAATCCTAAGTATTGAATATCCAGGATACAAATTTCAAATCCTCATGTTCATTTTTGTTCGTTTGTTTCAATCAGGGTCCAACTGTAATTGGTTTAATGTCCCTCTCTGCTGCTGCTGCTCTGCATTTCCATTGGAGGACAGTGCCTGTGCTTGATTGAGTAGTACCTCCTCTGGGATTTGGTGATCTCATCCCTGTGATGTAACTGAGATACTCCTCTGTTCCCTTTGGCAAAGAATGTCCATGGGTGGCAGGTGTTCTTGTATCAGGAGCCACTGATGTTCAGAGTGTAGGTCCACCAAATCACTCCAAAATGGTGGTATTCTAACTCCACTATTCCTTTAGGGCTGAGCTAGTAGTCTCCCATTATCCAGGAGCCAGCTTATCTAGAGACAGGATAAATCTTACCTCTTTGCCTTTATCAACTTTCAAACTAAATACACTACTTTACTAGCATCCCCCAACAATAATCACTGAAATTTTTAGTGTCATTCTGAATTCATGGATTTAGACTTTTGATGTTGTTTCAATCTCATGCAGTTACTAGCCTTATTGATGAACTCAAGTTGTCCTTCTTTAAGACTTACTGTTGATTTCCACAAGGAGTAAGCAGGAAGCTAGAACAACAAACGGGGATGTTATAACCATAGACGAGGCTGGGATGTTTCAATGTTGTTGTCCCTGCCCTTGTCCTCTATTTCACTGTGTTGCAGTTCTTAACCCTTTCCCTGCTAGATACTGTCATGGGCATCCCAGCCTCTCACGGATCCTGAGGAATGAACTGGCTTCCCCCTTCTCAGCTCCAAATCCCAAACAGTACCTAGGGACTGAGACATGATTATAGGGATGTTGTTAGGTGCCATCAAGTCATAACGACCTCATGTAACAGAACAAAAACACTGCCTGGTCTTGCACCATCCTCACAATCACTGCTGTGTTTGAGCCCATTGTTGCCACCACTGTGTCAATCCATCTCACTGAGTATTCCTCTTTTTTGCTGACCTCCTTTACCAAGCATGATGTCCTTTTCCAGAGACTGTAGTTGTTTTTAGGTGCCGTCAAATCAGCTCCAACTCATACCGTCCCTGTGTAGAGCAGAATGAAACACTGTCCAATCCTGCACCATCCTCACAATCTTTACTAGGCTTGAACCCATCATTGCAGTCATTGTGTCAATCCATCATGTTGAGGATGTTCTCCTTTTTCGATGATTCTCTACTTTACCAGCATATCCTTCTCCAGGGACTGGTCCCTCCTAAAAAACACGTCTAAAGTATGAGAGGTAAAGTCTCACCATCTTTCTGAGGAGCATTAAAGCTGTACTCCCTCCAAGGCAGATCTGTTTGTTCTTCTGGTTGTCCATGGCATTCAGTATTCTATGCCAACGCCACAATTCAAACACATCAATTCTTCCTTATTCATTGTCCAGCCTTCACATGCATACCTTAGTCTTCAAAGTGACATCAATAATTATATGGATAGTGGTAAAAACCAACTCTGCCAAGGAAAATGATCTACAACTTGGTATTTACTCGTGATGCAAAGAATAATCAATTGCAACATACCTGTGAATTAATGTGCTAAAAACCATTAAAAAAGAAAACACAATTTTTAAGGGAATACAAGCAATGTAGATTAGGACTCTGAGGAAGTTCAGTGGGGGATGAAGAAGAGGCCTAGTATGAGATTATCTACAGCAAAGGCTGCTCAGCCTGGGCCCCTCACAGGCAAGCTAAGCCACCACACAGCTCTCACCCACTGCCTGCTCAGGGTGCCCAGGTGCCACTGTGCATACAGGCAACCACTCCATCAGGGTGACTCCATCTGTGTAGTCATTGTTCTATTTAGTTTCTGGATTAGAATACTCAGTAGCATAACACAAACTCAACCTCAGTTTGCTGCAGGCCCAGCCTCATCCTCAAGGTCAGGTGTCTTTGCTTGTTGGTAAGACATGACACGGAGTATCTGCTATTGTAGGGAATTGGAAAGGCCTCCAGCCTCCATTCTGAAACCTAGGCTGGCCTGTCCCTTGCTTCCTCTAGCACAGGCAGGACACTTCAGATATCCCAGAGCCCACTGCTACCCTGCAGATATGTCTGGGTTCCCAGACACCACCTGTGGGTCTATTGGAACAGTGTCCTGGTCACTGGGAATCTGGTTCAAATGCAGACACTGATGGTCTCTCTCAGGGCTGAAATTCTGCCTTCACACCAAGCTCCAGTGTGGCTGCTTTAGGCTTTGGGTACCCAGACCAGAGACCAAGCTGGGAAGCAGCAAAGTTAGGCCTGAGGCCCACCCTGCACACCAAAGACACACTCTTACAAGTCCGTCTAGTCCCTGACTCTGGGGGCTGCCTTTGCTGAACTCCAGGAACGAGTAGGAGGGAAAGGCTGGGCCTCGTGGTTCAGTGACCCCTCTAGAGTGCATCATAGGGAAGAGGGCCAGCCTGAAGTCACATCCCCCTCCACACTGCCTGGGTCTGTGTCCCTCTATTCCAGGTGGGCCATCCATCCTGGGGGGCCATGATGGCTTGAGGGGGAGGCTTCCCCCACTGCTGTGCTCATTCTGCTATACCCACTGTCACCTCTGCATCATGAGGCACAGGTTGAGGGGGGTGGGCAACTGCCCTGCAGCTCCTCACACCTAGGACACACTCTGAAATGTGTTTAATTCAGCTTAGACTTAATCCAGCTTTACATTTAGAAATCCCATCATCATCTTCATCACTAAATTCATCATCAAAATTCTATGTAAAAAACTTAAAGAGCTCTCATGTGAAGTCTGCGCAACCATGAACAGGAAACACAGACTTTCGTGAAGGAGCTGTTTCAATGGCGGATGTTTTAACATCTACTTAAAGCTTGATCCCCTGGGTCAAGTGCTGCCTAAGAGCAGGTCGGGGTCGGCAGTTGCCCTGGCCACTTGCATGTGCTAGCACCTTGTGAGGAAAGAAAGTTCCTCACATCCACCTCCTGGTCTCTCAGAGCCTCAGGCAGGCCTGGCTGTCACAGTGTCCCACAGTGTCACAGAATCCCACATCTTTGGTGGGTCTGATAGGCCTGGTGCTACAGCCACGCCACTTCTATACTCTATAGCAGCATTTCTTCTTCCTCTTCTTCTGCTCCCACAAGCAGGTGCAGGCTATCTTCATCATTATCAGATGTGGCAGCCTCCTCCTCACTGCCTGGTGGCTCTGAGGGCCGCTTCACACCCCTCTGCTTGGACATGGCCAAAGCGTATCGCATGTTGTAACGGTTCCAGTCACAGCTGTCAGACATGAGAATCACCACGTCAGTAAACCAACCAGCAGCATCTTGCTGTGGGGGATCTGACCAGTCTCATCCACCCTTGTACCACCCACATTGCCCCTACAGCCCCAGGTCACAGACAGCATGCAGCCCCACCATGCCCCACTGTCCATGATACATACAGCTTGGAGAGGTCATCAAGGTGCCGCTGGATGCTCTTCTGCAGGAACTGCATGGCTGGCAGCAGGGTCCCTGCCCTGTAAAGGAGGACAACAACACAGCCTTACTCCAAATGCTGCTTGGATCCCAGTCCATTCCTTTTCACTGACACAGATCAGTGGGGAGGGACCAGAGACATGATGGGCAAGCAGGGCTCTCACCTGGACTTCAGCTTCTGTCCGTGCTGCATGAGCAACTGCTGTGTCCACAGGAGATAGAACTCCAGGTGGCGAGATACTTCAAAGGAGGAGGCAAGAAACTCCAGGACCTTCTCTACATACACCTCAGGCAATGAGGAGCTGACAACTTCAACTGGAGGAGGTGGAAGAGAAGAAAAAATCATGCTTATTCTGCAAAAACCCCAAATTAGAGGTAAAGACCATTATGTCCCAGCCCTCTCTTTGCCTGTAGAGAGTATGGGATCTGGACAGACAACACACAGGCTGTTGCCACCCCCACCTCCCCCACTCCAGCATACTCACCCTCATCCTGGGGCACTGACTCCAGTGCCTCCTGCACCAGTGCCTGCTCATTGAGCCGGAAGGCCATCAGGATGGCCCTGGTGAATTCCCTCTGGCGCAGCGCAGCACGAATCCGGCTGGGCGTGATGCTTGTGTCCAGCTCAAATGGGTCGAAGACCATCCGGGCATCAAGGGAGTAGATGAGCAGCCCCTCGGTGGTGGTGGCTGCCCAGCAGCGCCCTGGAAATAGGCAGGAAACTGGCTTTCTAGAAATTCAATTTCATGGTTTCCTCATTTTATAAAGAAAAGGTATTGAATACCCAAAACTCAAAACTCACCGACACTGAGTCAATTCCAACTCATAATGATCCCCATTGGGTTTCCAAGGTTGTAAATCTTTACGGAACCAGGCTGCCTCATCTTTCTCCCATAGAGTAACTGGTGGGTTTCAACCACCAACCTTTTCGTTAGCAGCCAAATAAATGCCTTCACCACTGTACCACCACACCTCTGTGGCTCAAAGATTCTTCCCACCCCACCATCAGCCACTCAGCTCCTCTTTGGAAGGGACTGATTGGTCTTATGACTCTCACAGATGTTTTTCCACAGTAGTTTTATGCATGTAAGCAAATATGTAGATATATGCATTCTTTACTCTGTCTACCCCAGAAGCCAAAGAGTAAACATTTTGCAACTATTCATTTAACTCTAGCCTTAAAAGCTGTCCTACACAAAACATGGAAGTGAAGGGCACAGCAACATTAGAGAACAGGCAATGGGCCATGCAGCCCCTGGCCACCCTCCCTGACGGATACAATGGTGGTCCCCACATGCCTGGGCTGCTTCTACTCCACTATGCTGGAGAAGCCTCATTACTCCCCAGGCAGTGCTGCATCCACTCTGTGGACAGACCATGCCATGGGCTGAAGGCCCAACACTTTGCCCCCCAGACTTCTCAGAGCACTGTCTGCCTGCCCATATATGTGAGGCGGAGGAGTGACCATTCTGCCTCCTAACAGAGTCAAGGATTGGGGCAGCCCAGGGAGAGGACACTTCATGCAGAAGGGCGAGGGAGCAGGCCCCTGAGAACAGCCACACATGGGCAGCCCCAGGAAGAGCAACTGATGCCAGTAATCATGAGCTTGGACATTTGGGAATAGAGCCTTCACACTATGCATGTTCCTATACAGGTAGGGACAGGCAGTCACAGCAGCCAGAGCAGCTGAGAACCATGTTCTTACCCACAGCCGACCCCACAACTGGAGGCAGAGGCATGGCCACTGCCCCACACACCTTTGATCCAAGTCCCGCCCATTCTACTATGGCCAACCTTCTATGGAGGCTCACCTGTGGGGGAGAAGCAGAGTGAAGTCACCCTGATCTCAGGTTTAAAGTGCCGAGAGCTCATGTCACCTGGAGGAAGAATCGACAAGTTACTGGCACCACATTCCACACCTCCCCACCCAAGGGGGCCACCTGAGAGTGGCTCTGGAGAAAAGAGCCAATGTCACTGCCCTCTGCCCCAACCCTGGCACCAAGATAAGGCAGGAAGCAGTCTTTCCCATTCCGTGCATAGATGATGCTCATGTGCCTGGACCAGAGCCCCAGACTTGTCATGCCGCCACCCTTGTGGTAAAAATTCAAACCACACACCAGGTGAACGAAAATGTAAGCCTGCTCTTGACCCTGCCCCAGCCACCCAAGCCCTTCCTAGAGGGCACCATGACTAAAGTTTTCTTTTGTGGTCCCCAGGAATTCTCTCAGGGAACGTAACCTAGTCCTGACACTTGGGGCTAGACAGTTCTCTGTTGTGGGTGACTGTGCTGTGCAGTGCAGGACACTTAGCACGTCTCCTGCTCTCTGCCCACTCAATGCCAAAAGCACCAGATGGGGCCCAATAAAACAAAGCATCCAGGCTGCTGTGGGGACTCACACGGTGGGCTTCTTGGGCCTGAGAGGAGTGATGGTGCTGGCCCTTGTCTACCACCACTGACCCAGCATCTGGCCAAATGTCACTGTGTATGGTCAGAGCTCCTCAACTTTGTAAACCTATGGCCCCCACCATAAGCAGAACCATGGTCACCCAGGAAAGGTGTACCCCCACTGTGGCCCTACCCCCAAGGGGTGGCCATGGGGAAGGCGGGAGAGCCTCACTCACCTTTCTTTACACCTGGTAGTGGTATTGCAACCCCATCCTCCTCCCCGGCGTCTTGATCAATCAGCGCCAGGTTGCCAAACTCTGTCATTTTCCTCCGGTTCAAAAATTCCTAAGACAGCCAAAGCCAGGCCCATCTCACCTCTGATGTATGGGCCCAAGAAAGAAGCCTGCTGTCTCACACCATCTCTTCCCCTTTCACATGCCCTCAACACTAACCACAGCTCATCACAGCAGACCCTCTCTCCAAGGCTGCAGAAAGCAAGCAGCAGCCCCCTGGCCTGTAGCAGTGGCCCGGTCTGCCCACATGACAGGCTACAGCTCAGCTTGGCTTTTGCACAATGGGGTGGCCATAGAGAAAGCCCCCCACCCTTATGGGGGAGTTCATTCTGACCCATGGAGGCCTGGCCAACCCAACGCACCTCCATGGCATCCAGAGAGAGGTTGCAGGAGATCTCAAACTTCCTCACAAGGATCTGCTCCTTGACATGATAGATGCAAACGAACTTGGACAGGCCCCCCGCCAGAATGTGCTGGCCGTCTGCAGAGTAGCACAGGGTGGTGAAGGACCTGGAGGGGATGTAGGTTAGTCACTGCCCAGTAAGGCTGACCTGTGGGCTCTTCAGAACCCAACTTTGGGAAGCAGAGAAGATGCCAGACCAGGTATGCTAGCACACATGATGCCTTACTAACTCTTCAAGGCTGCCTGCCCAAACCTCACATGATGACACTTTTAACCACCACAACCTGCACTGGTCCACCTGTCTTGCTCCTGTTCTCAGAGTCCACATGACTCACCAGCAGGACAGGACATGCATGCAACACCCAATGCGGTGGCTATTCCACAAAAGGATGAATTATCAAGTAAGAGCAATTCCTTGTCGCTGTCAGAGGGGAAAGGTAGCAGACTTGCCTCCAGTCCTCAAAGAAGCTCCCCCGCCCCGGTGGTGTGCACCTGGTCTTGCAGAGAACACAATCCAGGTGCTCACTGCCCTGGGTGTTCAGGACATAGGACAGTAACCAAGGGGCAGGCAACGACTTCTTAGATACGACACCAAAAGCACAAGCAACTAAAGAAGATATAAATCGGACTTGAGCAAATTTAAAAACACTTGTTCTTCAAAGGACACAAGAAAGTGGGAACACACCCACATATCATGAGAAATGTCTGCAGATCACGTAAATAAAAGACTGGTATCCAGAATATACATAGAACTTAATAACAAGAAAAATAATCCAACTAAAAGATAGAATGAGAAGTTGAATAGACCTTTTTTTAGAAAAAAATATAGGAATGGTTAAGAATAAGTCCCATCCTCATCAGTTTGCAGTTGTTGCTGTTCACATCCAGTATAGGGAGTTCTGGTGGTGCAGTGGTTAAGGCATTCAGCTGCTCACCAAAAGGCTGGGGGTTTGAACCCACCAGCTGCTTCCATGGGAGAAAGATGGGGCAGTCTGCTTCCATCAAGATTTGTAGCCTTGGAAATCCTTTGGGGGCAACTCTACTCTGTCCAACAGGGTCACTATGAGTTAGAATCAACTCAACAGCAGTGGGCTTTTTTTAAAAATAATAATAATAAATCCAAACTACAATGAGATAACATTTCATACCCACTGGGATGGCTATGATAATTTAAAAAAACAAACAAACAAACAAACAAGTGTTGGCAAGGATATGGAAAAATTGAGAAGCTCACTGCTGGTGGAGATGTGAAATATTATAGCACCTATGAAAAACAGAGGGCAGTTTCTCAAAAAACTTGAAACAGAATTACCATATGACCCAGCAATTCCACTCCTAGGTATAGACCTGGAATAGAAAGCCAGGACACAGATACTTTAAAACAGTGGATTTTACAATATGTGAAATATACCCCAATAAAGCTGTTAAAAGGAGCTCTGGTGGTTTAGTGGTTAAGAAATCTGGCTGCCAAACAAAAGGTCAGTAGTTCAAATATACCAGCTGCTTCACAGAAGAAAAATGAGGCAGTCTGCTTCCATGAAGATTTACAGTCTTGGAAACCCAAAGGGGGTTGCTATGAGTTGGAACGGACTCGATAGCAGTGAGTTTGGTTTTTGGAAAGCTGTTAAAGACAGACTTGGGACAAAGATAAGGAGCAAAGACCAAGAAGACCCAATGCTCACAGAGTCTGAGTATCAGTGAAAACCAGAACAGCTGCCTCCTATGTAAGGCTAAGTAGAAACCTACATGCCCAATATTCAAACCAGCTCTGGGTGATACACCCCACTTCAACAACTACAAAAGCTGCAGCAGCATGTCTACCAGCCCAACACTTTGGCAGAAATTATGCAACCTAGGTCTGGAGGTGTTTCATTTGAACTCTACTGAAAAGAACTGACAGGCCCCAAAAAACCACAAACACTCTAACTTCACACCCACCTGGCGATCCCCAGTCACAAGGGGCTACTAATACTAAGCACATGGGACATGGGGACTGACAACTCGGGCAGTGCCCCACATGTCACCAGGGATCAGAGTGATGGATGTGGATGTCACCACAGACCCATCTCATGCTGGCCCAGAGCAGGCCTGGCTGACACCCTCTGATGTAGTACAAATCTAAGCACTCTCATGCTGGGCCACTCAGCCCTTCTTCTTCAGGCATCACAGCACTAACCCTCACCACAAGGGGCTGGCAATATCAGGAATGAAGGATTATGTCAGAAAGAAAAGGCACTTTGAGAACCTACTACTGGGACTGTGGTAGTTAACTCTGTGTGTGTCAGCTTGGCTGGGCCTGGTTGAGTGGCTGGGCAGCTGGATGAGACTGGTAATCAACTCCATGGTGGTATCTACTGTGAGCAGCTGAGTAGCTGCCTTTGGGTATGTGGTCTACTTCCCGTATATAAGAAACAGCTTTGGAAATGGTCTCCAGCTTATGGCATGCTTATGGAACCCTGCATGTAGCGTGTCATTGTTCAGCAGCCTGCCATGCTCTGCTGACCCTGGGACTTTCAATGGACTTGAGTTAATGGCCTGCCATGTGGTTTGGTAACATCAAGACTGTGCCTTTTCACTTGTCAACCTTGGGCTTGTCAGTCTCAGCAGCCAGCAGCTGTCTCAGTAAAGAAAAGCCTCTAGCTCCAGTGGGCCGCGAACAGGAGGCAGAGCTGAAGCCCAAGGCTGAGGGGCTTTCACCCAGCCCCTAGAGCCTAGCACTTTGAACTCAGACTTAAAGCCTCCAAATTATAAGAGAATAAACTCCTGTTTCTTCACGCCATCCCATTTGTGGTATAGTCCTGTCAGAGGGACACTAGGTAACCAGAACAGGGACCCTCAGATCCAGGGAAGACCCCAGAACCACAGACCACCCAAAGGGGGAGTGATCTTGTGAAATGCCCTCAGTCCCCACCCCACCCACAACCCCCAGGGAAGCACTCACTTCCCCTTGGCCGAATGCTTGGCTGTGATCTTGTCCAACGCCTTCCTGCCTGCTCGGAGGTCATGCCGGCCCTCGATGGAGCCCGTCTGCACCGCTCTCTCGGGGTCCCAGAAAGTGATCTGTGAGTTTAGTGTGGCCACAGCCAGCTCTGCCCCATCAGGGCGGAAAGTCACAGCCAACGCTGAAGAAAGACAAGACTCAAGGTGTCACTGACCTGGACAAGGCCTCCCACTTCCATCATTAGGCACTACTGAATACCCTCCAGTCTGAGGTGGGAGAAGGCAGGTCCACAAGAAGCTGCTGACCAGGGCTACAAGGGCAGTCCCAAAATAGCAAGACTGAGCAGGGGCTGACCCTGTCGTATGGGGCAGGAGAGAGCGAAGATGTGCAGGGAAGGCCCAGGTTGCACCAGAGCAGGGAACAGCAATGCCTAGACTGAACCTGGGGACAGCGGGAGGAAGAGTACCACAGAGGACCCCATGACTCAGGCTGGCATCCTTCTTTACGAAGTCCACACAGTAAAGATCTTAGGCTTGGTGGACCACATAGTCTCTGTCACGACTACATGGCTTTGCCAGGGTAGCAAAAATATAGCCACAATGGAAATGACTGTGCCCCAATAAAATTTTATTTACAAAGACGAATGGGGGCCAGTTTTGGTGGTTGTGCTGCTGTTTTTCCATTCCCTGGACTAGTCCTGGGATGAAGTGACCCCTGAAAATAAGCCCCAGGAAAGGAAGGCATAGCAGCCAGACTCTAGGCTGCCTCATCCACAGCCCCTCACCTACAGGCACTTCATCCTACCACCAGGTCTTCCAAAGAACAGCATTAGCGACAATGGTTAAAGCCCAAAGACATCTCCAGGGAACAGTAGAAAATAGCTCCACATGGTAACAGGCAGCCTGGGCCCCGTCTGAACTTTAAGCTCCAGGCAGAGGCTGGCCTCTCTCCTCAACCGGTCCCTCTCCTTGCCTGGCTCCCCTCTCAAAAGCCTAGTAGGGGAGACCCCTGACAGTTCCTATACTCCCATAGCCCGACTAAGTGACACTAGATTGAACCGCTAACTGTCACTCCTAACACTGACAGTGCTAGGTTTAAAGTCATTCTTCTCAGCCCTCAGGGTGAGGGGGGCAGGGGAAGAGCACTGCCTACTCAAAAGACTGAAACAGGCTTTTCCTCACAACCCTAGCCCACACGGTGGCTCACCATCGGAAGTCAGGGCCAGCGTCTCCTTGGTCCGCCAGCTGTCATACATGTCCCACAGGCGTACTGTCTTATCCCAGGAGGTGCTGGCCAGCACGGATTTGGCCGGGTTGAAGCTTAGACCACTGATGGGCCCCTCGTGGCCAGATAAAACCTGCAGAGGTGGGAAAGGAGATGAGGCAAGGAGGATGTGAGAGCAAGTAACTGGGGCCTCTGGGCTGCTCCTGAGTGTCTGCTACACATAAGCCACCCCTGAGGTCCCTGGCACTTGGGACCAGGTAAGCTCAGTTGTTCTGGTGAAAGGGAGGGAGCAAGTGCGCTCTGTCTGTTCTGGGGATGTGGCCCAGCCCTGCAACTCCCCAGAGCTGCAGTTTGGGGTGTACCACACTTACATCTAGGAGCCTGCCCGTCTGCATGGACCAGATAAAAACCTCAAAGGAGTCCTGGGCGCCAGCAGAGACAATCTCACCGCTGGAGTCTACGGCCACACAAGAGAACTGCGTGGGGCGTGGGGACGTGAAGGTGCGGAAGTTGCGATACCTGTTGGGAGAGGGGATGCAAGTCTGGGTCACATCTGGTGGCACCAGCACCCCATGCACACAAGGGTAAGGGCACCCATGTCACCCTCACTCCAGAAAGGCCTGGACTCCACACACCCCGCTACCCACCCAGGAGGCAGCCCTGTCCTTTGCCAACCTCCAGAGCAAAGATGTCACCTGTGAAGGTCAAAGGCACGCACAGTCCCATCCATGGACGAGGTCACAATGACATAGCCTGTGGCAGTGAAGGTCACATCAGTGACCCCACTTGAGTGCTCCGTGAAGGTGATGAAGCAGAAGCCACTGAGCATGTTCCACACCTTGACCTAGGGCAGGCAGCATGCCAGGGACAGGATAACTGTATCACCCCATGCAAGCCCAATCCCTGGGGCCCCAACACCAACAGGGACAGAGTACCATGATGGGAGTGGCCCCACTCTGTGCCTCAAGCCCCTATGACCCCCAGCCAGGCTCACCCCATGCTGACTCCTGACCCCCCCTAAGCCAGGCCCTCCCTATACTGACCCTTGAGCCTAGACCCCTGATCTCCTAACAGGCCCACCCCATGCTGACCAGGCTTACCCTGTGCCAGCCTCCCACCCCAAACCATGTTGGTCATGGTGCACTGAGGTCACATGGGGGCTACCTTGCCATCATCTCCACCAGTAGCAATGTATTGCCCATCAGGTGAATAGGCCAGTGTCACCATGCTATTGAAGTGGCCCTGTTGCTTGAGTACGTAGGACTCGCTCTGCCACTCCCATACCAGCAGCTGCCCCAACCCTGTGGGCACATGACAGTGGGGGGACGTTCACCAACTTCTCCCCCAGGTGCAGACCCAGAAAGCCCTCCATGTAAAGCAATGCCCCAAGGGGATCGGGAGGGACCTGGGGAGTCACTGAGGGCAGCTTCCTGGTGACAACAGGACTGCATGTCTGGTACAAAGTGAAGCCAGCTGCCTAATTTCACATGACAAGAACATGGGGGCCATGGTCCCAGCAGAGCTGCTGTCTCCGGTCCCAGCCAGACACACAGGAACCCAAAGCAGAGATACCCACCTGATTTCCCACAGATCTGATAGAGGCCAGGTCAAGGCCCAAGGCCAGAAGAGCTCATGAGAGCATGACAAGGCGCTCATGGCTCAGAGGAGCATCCACCCCAGGAGCTTCGTTAACTCTCCCTTTACACAGTAGCCACCTGACTAAGCTACTCTGGTCACATCGAGAACATGTACGAGTTTAGGCAAGACTTCTTGTCAACGTCTGACACAGGAAAGAAGATGCCTAGGCTCAGTGCTCCAAGCACATCCCTCCGCATGCCGGGCCAAGGATTTAGGCCCCTAGGACTCCATCCTCAGACCAGGCAAAGCCCCTCTCTCAAGGCCTCTCTGCACTGGGAGCCAGGCCTGGCCTCTACATCCTTCTGCCACAGAGGTGCTTGGTACCAAGCTCCACCCTAATGTCTGCCCTGAGGTCTGGCAATGGACAGGAGGACCTCTGTGTCCTGGGCCCAAAGACAAACCTGAGCATCCAAAGGCGATCCAGTCCCCAGTGCTGTTGATGGCAATGGATGAGATCCTCTGGTCTGAAATGCTGCATGAGAAAGAACAGATGTGGTGAACCCAGAAGAGCGCTGACAGTATGACACTGCAAGCCTGCCCTGCTGCCATGTGGCCTGGGGGCCTGAGGGCTGACCCAAGATGTTGCGCTACAGCCGGGCCTCCCACCTCATGTGGTTCTGTGTGCTTCTGTCCCCCACACGCATATCAGACTTAGAAATACTTCATGTCACTCAAAAGTATCAAATAAACCCAGACAAATGTCCTGGGCTCAAATATTTGGGAGTTCAAGATTCATAATACCAGTATTTTAATTTCTCTACAATCTGAAGATGAACAGAAAGAAAAAACAGAACAAAAAACAAAATGGCATCACCAAGCTTTGAAAGCAAACCCCAGCGACCACAAAGAGAAGGCACAGCCTAAGTAGGGTGGGCAGGGACTGGGGGGGCAGCAGCCCCACGGTTTCCTTAGTCACCTTCATTGACCTAATTAACAAAACTGCCCACAACAGAAAAGGATAGAGAGCTGGGGAAGCCACCCTGGTAGTTCTGAACCATTTTCTGGCTCTGCCAGCAATCATCCTGGCGAAAGACAGTGCAGAATCTCCTCCACTGGCTCAGTGCCCCTCAATCCCCTTTGGGCCACCTGACTCACAAGGAAAATCATAAAGCCATACCTTCAGAGGAACTCACCTCAGGGAGTGGATGAGGTTAAACTCTGGGAGTTCGTGCAGATGGAAGGTTCCAGAAGCAAAGCCAGTGACCAAGAGGTGGGTCTTCTTGTGATAGGCTGCAGCTGTCAGATTATTAAAATCACCTTCTCTGTTGAAAAAGTACCTGAACAAATGTGATGAAAGAATTGCAGCAAAATGGCTAGCGGCATTAGCACCTGGCCCTGCCCTGCCTCAGCCCACAAAGTCATCAGGGCACAAAGGCAGTGCCCCCACTGCACTAGTCTCTTCTCTCTTAGGGTGATCCACTCACTTCACACCCTCGTATCTGCCACGTCTGTTCTGCTCATCCATGTGCCAGACCTTCTAAACCCAGGCTCAGGGTCCCACGGGAACTCTTAACTGGTACCCTCCTATTCCAATGCAGCATCAGTGTTGGGTGTGGGGGGGGGGCACCTCGGGGGGGGGGGGAATGCCACAGGAGTGGGAGGGCAGAGGCCAGAGCAGAGCTGTGGGCTTGGGCAGAGTTCACTTCCCTCCCACCTCTTCCACCTCTCCTGGACCCTCTGTCCCGCTCACAGGAGACCAGGATGGATGAAGCACATCCCAACCAACCACCTTCCATGCTACCCTCACCTGCCTTCCAGTGACCTGCCTCCACTCACCCTCCTACCCGTCTTCTGCTCTGAAGCCTAGATATCTCCAAAAGCAGACGCAACAGCAGACATAGGTCAAGTCCTCCCTCCCTCATTCCCCTGGCTTCCCCCTACTGCCACTGGTCACCTACCACAACTGTGTGGCTCTCCAGAGCTTTTTACTCTGGGCCCATAGGGGCACCTAGATCACAGGCCAGGTCCCAATGCCACAAGCACATGTGTTTTCTAGGACTTCATCCAGATAAAATAGGCCTACACCCTGCATGCACTGCTCCTCCTGCCCAGCCTTCGAGGTTCCTCATGCCCCCTGAGCACTGAATGGGGCGGGAGGGACGCACTTGGCCAGCCGTGTGTACTTCACTTTTCCTTTCCTCTCTTCCTCAGCAGGTGTGGCGGTCCCACGCACAGTGGTCTCTTTCTCCCCATCCTCATCATCGTCTTCATCCTTATCCCGCTGCAGCAGGTCTGCCTTCCAGCCTCGGGGGGCCATCAACCGCAGGCCCTCTGGGGGGGTGTCACACTGCCACACACACAGGGCCCCATCCTGGCTCAGTGTGTACAGCTGCCAAGGGAAGCATGAGAATGAGTGTGAGCCACAACCCCTTACTGCCACTCACCCTGTGGCCTGCACACCTGTAGCCCAGGCCCATGTGGACACTGGGATATATGCCCAGCTTCTGTCTGGGTTAGCCACTCACTATCAGCCCCGTCACAGCCCTTCCTCTGTACTGAAGAGAAATGCTTCTTAGGTTCTAAATATTTCCCAGGTTACATGGCCTCGGGGTGTGAGGGGACCAGGCCACAGCACTCTCTCAGGGTTCTGCAGAGCTGTTTCACCCAGGGTGGAAGTGCTGGTGGCAGGCCTGTTTTGCACCGTGACGTACATCCAGGCTGCAAGACTCAAAGAAGCAGGCCACAATGGCGTCCTTGTGTCCTCCCAGTGCATAGTAGATGAGGTTGTCCCAGCGCTCAGCCCCAAACACCCAGGTGGACATGTCCTTGCTCCCAACCACGAAGCACCTGGAAACAAGAGAGGCAGCTTGTCCTCAGGCTCAGCTGCTTTACTCCACAGGCAAAGCCATCATCTGCAGAGCAGAGACACCTCCATCTGCCATATGGTCTGAAGGTCAGCTAAGATGGTCCCACAGCCCAGCACAAGTGAGAAGTGTCACTGATCCTTCAGCCAACTGGAGTGCCAGTTGCATGTGACTGGTATTATTCTTGGGTGGCAGGAGCCACTGTACACATGTCACTGTCCCCCAGCCACAAAGCAGTGTCAGGTCCTGGGCCTCACTAAGGGTGCCAATGAATGCACAGACACAGAGAACAAGTCATAGATCTCAGATCATGCCTGCCCAGGGCTACAGGAAGCACCTGGTCTCACCCCAATCAATCCAAACAGTTTTCTTGTATGAAAAAGTCCAATGCTTGGACCTCAAGGCTTATTTTGTCCAGAGTAACACAGGCTGATTCACTGGGGTGAAGAGGCATGAAGGGTGGTCATGTGACTCATTGGCCCCGTTGAACAGGTACATGTGTGCACACATGACAGCTATATCATGTGGAACAGCTGTAAGCTGTGCCATCCTCACACTGGGCCAGGGTCCAGCACAACACCAAGGCTCTGGTTGGATGCTGAGCAAAAGCACTAGGCAGCAGCTGCCTTCAAACCTCTACCTACAGGACCTGTGTATGACACAGAGCTCCCAGCTGAGGAAACGTCAGCAACAGCCTAGGGGCTTCATTGAGCTAGGTCCTGTGGGGGGGTCACAGGAAAGGGGTGTTCACCTAGCTGTTACATTAAATCCACAAATAAGATGCTTAGGGGAGTTCACCCATCTTCCTGCCAACCACCTCTGGGTTAGGGGTCTGGTGAGTAGACTTGAAGGTCCATCAGCTGATTTACAAGCATCTTTCCCTGAGATTGAGTCTGCTCTCATTTCCAATACCATCAAGGAGTGCAGACAGAGTTTAGCACCAGCAGTCCTTCCCCACGGTACAGGCCATACTCAGCCCAGAAGAAGCCCACAAGGTAACATTTCAAAATGAAACTTCCAGTTGCTGCATTGAACCCTGGCTTCCACTGCACCCTTCCACCCCTGCCCGCCTCTAGCTCCACCTGGAGTCATCGGTCCAGTCAATACACGTGGTCTCATCGTATGGTCCAAAGTAGGTCTTGTCCAGGACAAATGCATTGAATTCTCGCTTCTTCCCAGGGGCGTGGTACATCTGGGCAATGTTGCCCTTGGTAACAACAAACTTCCTGTGATGAAGTAGAGACAGAGTCAGCACTCATGACGTCCACAGCCTGAGACCCTGAAACATCTCTAAGCCTGGCTGCTCCAAGCTGCTCTGTGGTGAGTTTCTCACTAGCACAAATCTGGTGGCTGGTCTCTGGGGCCTCCCAAGTCCCAACTCCTCTCCTGCACAAATGGAGAAGAGGTGAAGAGGTGAGGGCATCAGAGAGGAAACCGACAAATAAGCCAGGCAGCCTTGGTGACTACTAGCCCCAGCAAAAATCCAGGGTACTGGGTCTCTAATGAGCATCCCTGGTGGACACTTCACAAGTGTGGTCACAATTGGTTGCTGGGGAACTAAGTGTGTCCTGGGTGACTCCATGGGGATATGACTCTGAAAGCTTGTGCCTGGTGTCCCTGAACTCTGCCCCAGCTACAGCCTTCTGGTGCCGATTTCGCTCTGTATCCTTTTGCTATAATGCCATGAGTACAACTATACCCTAAGTCCTGTGAGTCCTCCTACTGAATCCCGAACCTGGGGGTGGTCCTGGGGACCCCAACACACCAACACACCAGCGATACAGAGGCTGGTACTGCTGTAGATAGACCACAGGGGCAATGGAATCACTTCTGAAGTGCTGATTAAACCGTAATGCTACTAATGTGATGTCTTTGAACCTACTATAGGAGAAGCTGGGCATAGCCAGCTCTAGAGGAGGGGCTGACAGTGCCCCAATGGTAGCCAAAGGGCCAGCTGAGCCCCCTTACCTGCCATCGGGGGAGAAGGACACACTGTGCACAGAGCCTTTAAAGTGGAATTGGTGGAGCACCGATCTGCAGATCAGGCTGACCAACAGAGCATTGCCCCCTGCAAGAAGGAGGACAGGGTGGTCAGGCCATCAGCTCTCCAAGAGTGACACCCCACAACACATACACACACAAGATATGCACAGTGCAGAAACCAGTATGATACGCACACTGCAGAAACCATTAAGGGCCCTGCACAAGACATGAAGGCCCACTCTCCACTGTCTCTTTGGGAGCTCCATGTTAGGATGGGATCCATGCATGGTTAGGGCTCTCCTAGCCAACCTGTGGGACCCACACACAGCACCTACAGGGCCAAGGTTTGATATGCAGGTCACCCCCATGGACCCTGAGGGACAGGTGTTCACACACCCCTGTTAAATGAGGAAGCAGGCTCAGAGGGTCCAGGATTGACAAAGGATACACAGCTGGGGTAGGTAAAGGCAAGAGTGTGTAACATCTCTAGGCAGCAGCTCTGTACTCCCAGCTCCTCCCAACACAGGTATGTGGGCCCCTCACCCTGATAGAGAGTCCTCACCCCTCCCTACATGGAGACACAGGGACCCCCCTCACCTCACTCCACTTAAGTATACGTGTCCACACTGAGACATTCTCACCCCCATCCTGAGCTACACCAGAGCCGTGTGATGTTGCAATGACAAGAATGATGTCTGTTTCATGATGATGCCCCTCTCTCTGAGACTCAGTACTGCTATCACTCCCACCTGACTGCCCAGTCAGGACAGCACAGCTTCTCCGTACCCAGGGCAGTTACCTTCATCTACAATGATGGCGAGGCAGCCGTCCGGAGAAAGTCCTACACATTTGACATTGTACCGTGTGGCCAGGGGCAGGGTGTCCGATTTGTTGCTGAAAGAACAAACCACAGCAGGAGGTGGCAGAGTGCACGCCATGAACCTCTGCTTAGTAGCCCGCCCATGCCACACACCCTTCCAGCACTCCAGAGCAGTGACAACAGAGTACAGTCTTATGTCTCCACTGGAGGAAAGGAAGTCAGATCGTGTCCTTGGGGGAGGAAGTGTTGAAAAAACATAGTAAAAGCCTTAAAAATGGCTGACATACCAATTTTAACTCTAGGACTGTGTCCCAGAGGACCAAGCATATGTCTAATGCCAGGGACCTGGAAATAAGCTAGAAGTCCAAAGAGAGTAAGGATTAACCAACCACAACGATAGCATATATGGAATACGGTGCTTATGAAGACATGGGGAAATGCACAAAAATGGGCACATGAGTAATAACATGCAGGTGTATCTATAAACATCACAACTCAATTCTAATTTTGTTCTTTACTATTTAATTTTCCAAATTTTCTTCAATGAACACAAAGTCATCACTTAGCGATCCCTCATTGGATGTTATTTAACACAATGAGAGTAGCAGCAGTGGCAGCTAACCCCAGAGCACTCCCTGCACCAGGTGCTGCTCAAGAACGCTTTAGGAAGTGACCCACCAAACACTGACTGTCATTGCCCCACTTTACAGGAAAGGAACCAGAGAAAGCACTACAGAGCAGGGCACACCCTAGGCAGCCTAGGCCTCCCCAGTACATCTGGGCAGAGATGGGAGGGGTGAACAGGTACTCAGGAATCCCTCCCATTGGGAAGAGAGGAAAGCGGTAGCATATTTGTTCAGCAGAAACCACGCCAGACCCAAGCAACCAAAGCTGAGCTCAGTGAACTGCAGGCCTGGGCAGGCTGTGCGTGCTTGAATCACCCTGCCCCATTCCAAGTGAGGCAGCCCAGCAAAGAGACTGACAGCACCCCCAGCAGCCCAGGCTCTCCCCAGCAGGGGTCCAGGGCTTAACTTTTCCATGCTATGTAGCTGTACACAGGCAGGGGCCTCAACAGTGAGGCATATCCAAGATGCAGCACAAACCCTAATACTATTCCCTCTTTCTGCAACCCTTACTCCACAGCAAGAAGTTCTTGACCCTCCCATAGAGAGCTCAGCCGAGTGACACTAAGTGTGTGCCCCATCCTATGGTACCTATAATGGCAGTGTCAACAACCTAGACACCCATTGTAATCCCCATGTTGACCTGCTGACACTATGTACCTCCCACAACCCCTTCTGAAGCTATCTTCCAGCTCCTGAAAGCTAGGGTCAAAAATATTTAATTCATGGGTACACTATAAAAAGTAAGGTAAGGAAAACAGCTTTGAGAGTCACCATTGCCTTTTACATGAAAGCCCTAATTATCATTACTTTTAACATCATTTTCTCATACTCACTTTTTAAGGTCAAATACAGTGATTCTGTTTCCCACAGGGCTGATAACTGAATTTCCATCATGTGTAAAATTTAAATTTCCATGGCGATAGACCGTACCCAACAAATTAGAGAACTGGGAAGAAAACAAAGCTGTCTTAATACAAAGAAAATACAAAGGGTCTCTGCTCACAGCAAAAGGTGGAATGGGGTGTTTTGTGGATGGGAGTCCCCACAGGGCACCAGGCCCTGTGCATCCCCAAGGCCCTTTGGCCACACCAAACATTTCCTGAGCACACAGATGGCCACAACCCCAAGCAACAGAGATTGAGGGGAAGTGAACAGCCCAGAGGGCAGAAGTGGCTGTGAACATCAGGAAACCTTCGAAGACGAGGTATTTCCAGTAAGAAGGGGTAAGGGGGAGGGGGCAAGAAGAGGTCACAGGGCCCACGTTTCAAAAGAAAAGCTGCAACAAAGGAACAGTAATCCAAGAGCATCTAGAATTTGAAGCATCTGAACCCTGAGTGTGCCACACCCCATTCATTCACCAACATGAGAAGAAGTCAGTACAGATGGTGTGAGGTGCTGTGAAGACAGCAGGCCCACCCAGTGGTGCGCACATGGGAGGTGACCTTTGCTGGGTGCTCAGGGAAGGCCCCCTGAGAAGGGGTATCTTGAGCTGGAACCTAAGTGACAACAGCAAGCCTGGCTAGACTCTGGAGTTGTAGGCAAGGTTGGAGAATTTCAGGAAAGAACTGGGCATGCCCAAGAAGGGGAGTGTTGTGACCTAGCTCACATTTTGGAGAGCGATGCTAATGACTGAAGGGAGGCAAGGGGGAAGCAAGGGGCCAGGTAAGAAACTCTCGTTTCTAGCCTAGGAAAAAAGATAATAGTGTCCCAAGGAGCTTAGTAACACAGAAATGGAGAAGAGTGGATCCCTGAAAGGAGCTGTATGAAGGAGAAGGGCCAAGACCCAGAGGGCTTCTTCCGGTATGGTGCTGGGTAGGTGGGGACTGGGAAGGGCTTCCCCAGCAAAGCAGCACATGGAAGGAATATTTTCAGGGGAGTACCAGGTTCAGTTCTGACAGTAGTAAGTGTAATCTGGGGCTGGGCACCAAAACCCAAAACTACCGCAAGAGCTGAAGGCACAGCCCTGGAGGTCCTGCAGGGAGCTGCAATGGAACAGGGACAATGCCCAATGTGGGAAAGATAAGGAAATCAGGACACTGTGCAAACCTGGCCAGTATTTTCCCAAACAAGGATGTGGCAACTGTACCAACCAAAGTACAGTTCGGTACAGTTGACCAATGCAGAGAAGGCAGAGATGAGGGACCCATGGGCTCGGTTAACCTCTCCTTCTCCTTACTTACCTGGCTCACTTGTTTGCACCCTTTTCATTCCTCATGTGCTACCAGGCCCTCAACTCCTCACCTGGGTCTCCTGGTGACCTGACCTCACACCAAGCAGACGCCATCAGGTGCCAGCACCTGAGCCTTCACCGAACAAGTGCCGGCTCCCTGCCTTCTTCTCGCTTGCTCCGATCCCCAGCTCAACTGGGCCTCACCTTTTAATTTCCCAGGGACGGTGTTGTCCGTCTCCTGTCATCAAGTTCCCTCTCACTGGTGGAACAGTTAAACTTAGAGAACACAAAGGATCCTTCCCGTCCCATTTCTGCCCTCCCAAAGAAGATACAGGAGGAGCGCTCTGCGCCCGGCTCCCGCCGCAATCACCCTCCTGACCTGCTCCGTCCGTCCCAGGCCTCCTGGAAACCGCTTCCAACAGAACCACCGGCGCCGTCCGCGCTGCACGTTCAGGACTCACGTGCTTTCCTCAGCCATTAGGCAACCGGCGGCCCCAAAGAGAGGATGGACCCAGGCCTCTCTACTCCCGCGGCCGGCTCCGTCCCACGGACCAAGCAAGTGGACCAGTCCCCGCAGGTCTCAGCCCCGCGCCCCCCACGTGCTCACCTGGTACGCGAACTTCATCGCGGCAGGAACAACTGTGTTCCACTGCACCGTGCTCTGAGCCGGCTTCCGGGCACAGGACTGAGGACCCAGGCACCAGCGGTACAGCGCCTACCACGGCCGGAGGACCGCACAACCTCCCCTAGCGCCCCGCCCCGTCCCAGCGCCACAGCCCCTTCCCTACGAGGCTCTGACGCAGACCCTGTGGTTAGAGCTCCGCCCCTCCCGGTCCTGAGGCGGAACCTGAGCCCGAGGCCCCGGCCCACCTCGAGGTGGAGCCAGAACACGAAGCCACCTATCTGGCGCGGCTCTGAAGCGGAACCTGTAATTCTCTAGTCGGGTCCGACTCGGAAGGCACATAACACCACCACCACCTTGCCCCAAAGGAACTCTGGTGGCGTAGTGCCTAGGGCATTTGTCAGGCTGGGCAATCTACTTCCCTAAAGGTTTGTTGTTATTGTTAAGTGCCATAGAGTCGGACCGGACTCAGAGAGACCTCTCCTTGGGTTTCCGAGGCAGTATCACTACGGAAGTAGATTGCCCCATCTTCCTTCGGAGGAATGGCTGGTGGGTTTGAACCGCCAGCCTTCTGGTTAGCAGTCAAGTGCCTTAGACACTATGCTACCAGAGCTACCGCCTGGTAAACCCATGAGTCGTAATCGACTCCATGGCAGCGAGTTTGGTTTTGGTGATCTTGCCCCAAGCTGCAGCATGAGCCGGAGGACCCGCCACGCTCCTCAGTGGAGCCTCTCAGCGCAGGCACTGGCTAGTCCAGCCTGCCAGAGATTAGAGGACCTGGCCCTCCCAGACTCAGAACAGTTTATGCACTTTCTGCTAATAAGGTTAAAGCTCTAAGCAAACAGAGGCTCTTCCTACAGCTCCTTTGTGTTCTCTAAGTTCTTTAAGTTTGTAACCCCTGGAGGCGCGATGATGCAGCTGCTAATCCAAAAGTTGGCAGTTAGAGCACCCAACGACTCTGCTGCAGAAGGACCTGTTAGGTGCCATGGAGTGGGTTCCAACTCATTGCGAACCCATCTATAACAGAATGAAACACTGCCCAGTCCTGGGCCATCCTCACAATGGTGGCTGTTTATGCCCATTGTGGCAGCCAGAGTCAATCCATCTCAGGGTCTTCCTCTTTTCACTCTCTACCAAGCATGTTGTTGTTCTCCGGGGAATGGTCCCTGCTGATAACATGTCCAAAGTAAGGGAGACAATGTCTTGCCATCTTTGCTTCCAAGAAGCATTCTGCCTCTACTTCTTTCAAGACAGATTTGTTCGATCTTCTGGAAATCCATGTATTTAATAATCTTCGCCAACACCCAAGTCCCCTAGAGCCAGGAAAGGGAGGGAGCAGGAGCAGCCTCCAGGAACTCTGGAGCAGCAGGATATCTGGGTAAAGAGGGACAAGAGGCAAGGCTAGGCCCCAAGCCCCCTAGAGCCAGGAAAGGGAAGGAGCAGGAGCAGCCTCCAAGAACTCTGGAGCAGCAGGATATCCAGGTAAAAAGAGCAGAAGGCAAGGCAGGCCCCAAACCCCCTAGAGCCAGGAAAAGGAGGGAGCAGCCGGGGACCACACAGTCCCTACAGGTTCCAGGTAAGAATTAGATAAGGGGAGAGCGCAGAGGTTTCCAGCAGTTCAGGGAGACAAATATTTGTCAGTTTGTCATCCTGTGAGGCTTGTACATTGCTGTGAAACTTGAGGTGTGCCACTGGTGTTTCAGACACCAGCAGAGTTGCACATGGTGCACAGGTTTCAATGCAGCTTACAGACCAAGACAGACTAGGAAGAAGGAGGAGGTCATCCACTTCTCAAAAACTGGCCAGGGAAAACCTTATGAATAGCAAAGAAACACTGTCTGATACATTACTGGGCAACTTTATGAATTGTTTAGAAACACTGTCCAACATAGTGCAGGAAGATGAGCCCCTTCTGTCAGAAGGCACTCACTATAGAGCTGGGGAAGAGCTGCCTCATCAGAGTAGAACCAACCTTAATGATATGGATAAAGTAAGTCTTTCAGGACCTCCATATGGTGATGTGGCATGACTCAAATTGAGGAGAAACAGCTGCAAACAACCATTAATAATCAGAACATGGAATGTACAAAGTATGAATCTAGGAAAATTGGAAGTTGTAAAAAATGAAAGGGAACACATAAAGATCGATATCCTAGCAATTAGTGAGCTGAAATGGATGGGTTTTGGCCATTCTGAATCAGACAACCATATGATCTACTATGCCGGGAATGACAAATTGAAGAGGAATGGCGTGCCATTCATCATAACAAAGGATGTTTCAAGATCTGTCTTAAAGTACAGTGCTGTCAGTGATAGGATGATATTCATACATCTAAAAGGAAGACCCATTAATACTACTATTATTCAAATTTGTGCACCAACCCACCAAAGCCAAAGATGAGGAAATTGGAGATTTTTATCAACTTCTACAGTCTGAAATTGACCAAACATGCAATGAAGATGTGTTGCTTATCAATGGTGAGTGGAATGCAAAAGTTGGAAACAAAGAATCACTGGTTGTTGGGAAATTTGGCCTTGGTGACAGAAATAACACTGGAGATTGCATGACAGAATTTTGCAAGACGAACGATTTATTCATTGCAAATACCTTTTTTCAACAACACAAATGGTGGCTATACACGTGGACTTCACCAGATGAAGTACACAGAAATCAAACTGACTACATCTGTGGCAAGAGGAGATGGTAAAGCTCAATATCTTCAGCCAAAACCAGGTCAGGAGCTGACAGTGGAATAGACCATCAACTGCTCATATGCAAGTTCAACTTGAAGTTGAAGACAATTAAAACAAGTCCATGAGAGCCAAAATATGACCTTGAATATATCCCTCCTGAATTTAGAAACCATCTAAAGAATAGATTTGATGCATTGAACACCAATGACCAAAAAACAGAAGAACTGTGGGATAACATCAAGGGCATCATCCATGAAGAAAGCAAGAGGTCACTAAAAAGACGAGAAAGAAAAGACCAAAATGGCTGTCAGAAGAGACTCTGAAACTTGCCCTTGAGCGAAGAGTGGCTAGAGCAAATGAAAGAAACAACAAGATAAAAGAGCAGAACAGAAGATTTCAAAGAGCAGCTCGAGCAGACAAAGCCAATTACTATAATGAAATGTGCAAAGACCTGGAGTTAGAAAACCAAAAGGGAAGAACACGATCAGCATTTCTCAAGGTGAAAGAACTGAGGAAAAAATATTGAATGATGCAGGAAGCATCAAAAGAAGAGTCACTGTACCAAAAAGAACTGGTCGATGTTCATCCATTTCAGGAGGTGGCATATGTTCAAGACCCAATGATATTGAAGGAAGAAGTCGAAGCTGCACTGAAAGAATTGGCAAAGAACAAGGCTCCAGGAATTGATGGAATACCCATTGAGATGTTTCAACAAACGGATGCCCCACTGGAGGCACTCACTTGATTATGCCAAGAGATTTGGAAGACAGCTACCTGGCCAACTGACTGGAAGAGATCTCTATTTGTACCCATTTCAAAGAAAGGTGATCCCACAGAATGTGGAAATTATCAAAATCATTAACATCACATGCAAGTAAAATCTTACTGAAGATAATTCAAAAACAGTTGCAGCAGTACAATGACAGAGAATTTCCAGAAATACAAGCTGGTTTCAGAAGAGGATGTGGAACAAGGGCTATCACTGCTGATGTCAGATGGACCTTGGTTCAAAGCAAAGAATACCAGAAAGATGTTTACTTACATTTTATTGACTATACAAAAGCATTTGCTTGTGGGGATCATAACAAATTGTGGATAACATTGAGAATGGGAATTACAGAACATGTAATTGTACTCATAAGGAACATGTACATAGATCAGGAGGCTGTTGTTCAAACAGAAAAAGGGAACACTGCATGGTTTAAAATCAAGAAGGGAATGCGTCAGGGTTGTATCCTTTCACCATACTTATTCAATCTGTAGGCTGAGCAGATAATCCGAGAGGCTGGACTATATGAAGAAAAACATGGCATCAGGATTGAAAAATCATTAACCTGCAATACGCTGATGACACAACTTTGCTTGCTGAAAGTGAGGATGACTTGAAGTACTTACTGATGAAGACTGAAGAAAACAGTCTGCACTATGAGACCAGAAGAACTAGATGGTGCCTGGCTACCACTGTCAGCTACTCGGAGAGGGATCTCTGTCAGAGATCGCGGATAGAGAGGGAGAACAATGTGGAACAAAACTCAAAACATTTGGGGGAATAAATGGGGGGGGGACCAGGTTTGCTGGTCTGATAGAGCCTGGTGAAACCCCTGAGACCTGGAGTTGGCTCATGGAGCTGCCTTAGAACCAGGCAGCTGCCCTTCAGGACTAGAATGGAACCCACACCTGTGGCTTCCAGCCAAACAAAAGACAGGCATATGAGTTGAACATTTACCTGAGGTAGATACACTCCTTGGAGAGATCAATCATGGGAAAAAGAAGGGCTGTTTATGCACAGGGAGATAGCTCAGGGGGCAGGAGTGCATGGAGGGATGGACACAGGGAAGAGGTAACTATCAGGAGGGAGTGGGAGGGGAGCTGTTGCATTGGGGTAATTTGTAGTCAATGTCATGAGACAAAGTGTATGTGAACTGTTGTATGGAAAGTGAATTTGCTCTGCAAATTTTCACCCAAATCACAACAATAATAAAATACAGTCTGCAGTTTGGATTACATCTCAATATAAAGAAAACAAAATCCTCACAACTGGACCTATAAGCAGCATTACGATAAATGGAGAAGGCTGAAATTGGCAAAGACTTCACATTGCTTGGTTCTACAATCGATGCCAATGGAAACAGCAGTCAGGACATCAGATGACTTATAGCACTGGGCAGATCGGCTGTGAAGCACCTCTTTCAAGTGCTGAAGAGCAAAGATGTCTCCTTGAGGACTAAGGTGTGCCTGACACAAGTCATGGTATTTTCAATCACCTCATATGCATGTGAAGCTGGACAATGAATAAGGAAGACTGAAGA